GCATTCCAGGAACTTTGGGGAGGCAGAGATTTAAAAACAGATATTTTCAGAAGCTGCTGTGTTGTTCAATTTGGCAAGACTATTCCAAAGGATGAGACTTGACATATATGTATAAAACAAGTGAATTTCCTTCCTCATACAATCTTTTACCAGCTTCCTATTGCTTTTGGGATAAAGTACTAAATTCTTAATGTGGAATAGCATACTCCTGTCGTAATTATAAACTAAAACTAAAATCCTAAGTGCACCCCTGCCCCCGACTGAATGGACCCCCTCTTGGCTAACGGGACCTCAGAAAAACAGTAAAACTATGATGGAAAGGGAGGTCTGACACAGTTCCTTATACCCCTCTTTTTGGAGTTTAAACACACCAGCTTAATGTTAAAGGAGAGATAAGACTGACAAAACAGACTCTTTTTGGCAGTAAGATATTATATTACAAACAGGACCTAAGGCTATGCAAGGCAAAGGTTAAGTCAGGCCTTACAAACCCCAAAATCTTATTAAATGGGTTTTTTAAATTAACTTGGTATAATGTGGCTTACTTTCCAACCTGACTGGTATAGCATCACATGACAGATAGCAGATCTCCTTATCTTAACTCAAGCATTCCTTTCTAACTCCAAGTCTTTAGAAAAAGCTTTATTTCTTTAACCAATTACAAATCAAAGAATCTCTGAAACTACCTATAAGCCCCTGCTTCGAGATGTCCTGCCTTTTTGAGCCAAGCTAATGTATACTATCTTTTGATTTCTGATTTTACCTGCATTTCCTTTCTTCCTAAAATGTTATAAAACCAGATTAACCCGGCCACCTATGGTACACTTTCTCAGGACTTCTTAAAAGATGATGCTTCTTGGCCCGTGGCCACTCATATGGGCTCAGAATAAACCTATTTAAATTATTTTATAGAATTTGTGGGGTTTTTTTCCCCTGTTAACATAATGATTGTTGATTTCAGTTTTCATGAACTTGGTCCTTTTTACTATTTTGGCCTCTTAATTGCTTGACTTCCCTCCTTCACTTATCTTGTCAGCCAGTTGTTTCCCTAGACAGACTCCAGATCTTGCTGTTACCGGTAATTGTAACCCCTTTATAATTTCATTTTAAGCTTCACACTCTGACTAGCATATCCTGCTTTCTAGCTCACTCACCTACCACTCTATTCCTTATCCCCCTCTTGTTTTCTGTATCAGGTACAGATTGCATAGTCTATCATTATAACCATTCCCCTGCATAATTCTTCAACTCCCTGGACTATTCTCTTTATTCATTGTACTTGACTCATAAATTACTGATGGAGTACAACTCTTTGCCTCTTCTGCACATGTAACTTCTAAGTGAAGAATAGACCAACTTGATTTGCTGGAGGAAAACACATACATAATTGATTTCACTTTATATTCATTGTAATTACCTTGAAGTGAGTCTGTAGTGTTCCCCTGTAATCCTAATTGTTCTAGTTCATTATTTTTCTACTCCCCTATATGACAATTGTGCACATTCTTCTCTCTCCTCAAACACTCTTTTCTTAATTGCTTTTGTTAGTTTCTGTTACATTTCTTTGATCTCTTAGTAGTGCCTGACCACAGTCCTTGGGCCCTTTCATTTTTCTGTCTACTCTTAATCCTTTGGTGATCCCATCTATCTGATTGCTGTAAATGCCACCTCTAACATTGGTGATGACCATGTTTATATCTGCATCCAGGTCCTTACTACTACTTAGGTGGCATCTCTTAAACTGTTCAAAGCCTAAATCCTGGCCTTTAATTTAAAACTTATTTCTCTGTCTTTACCCCAATAAATGACAATTCTATCCTTGCAGTTACTCAGACAAAAAAACCTTGGTGTCATCCTTAACTTCAGTCTGTACAATCAAATCCTCTTGGCTTTATCTTCATACTATAGACCATTCCCTTTCCACCTCCTCCTACTCTTGCATTTTGGTCCAAGGCAGCAGCATCTCTCATCTGGATTATTGTGATAGCCTCTTCTTTGTGCTTTCTGCTTCTGTCCATCTCCTTGTTTCATATAATCTCTACAGAGTATACTATACAGATGTATAATCTCTACAGAGTGATCCTTTAAACACGAGAGTCTCCTATTCTAATCAAAATCATCACTAGTCACTTTCTTTCTTACCTAGGGTGAAAGCCAGAATCTTTAGAGTGACTTAAAAGGTCCCACATGATCTGGCTCCTGTTACGGCTCTAACCTCATTTCCTGTTATTCTTGCCTTTGCTCGTTTTCTCCAGCCACGTTGGCCTTCTTGCCTCAGACATGCCAAGCCATGCTTACATCTCAGGTTTTTGCCCTTGCTCTTCCTCTGCCTTTCTGTGTAAGCTTTCTTCGCATATTTTCATAGCTAGTACCCCTTTTACTTCCTTCAGATTTTGCTTAAATGTCATTTTTTTCAGTGAGCCTTTTCCTGTCCACCCTTATCAGAAATTGTAACCTCCTCTGCTTAAATTTCCTGTCTTGTTATTTTGTTCTTTTCCCTGTAGTTATCAAAATGACTTACCATATATTTATTTTTTAAAAAAATTATTTGCCCCCTCCATTAAGCTCTATGAAGGTAGAGATTTTTATCTATTTTGTTCTTTTCCAAATCCCAGTCCCTGTTAAATTGTAGGTATCAACTCATTTATGAAACAAATGAATAAATAAAATACTCAAAGACTTGTATAATCTGCCTGCCTCTCCCTTGTCCTTCCAGGTTTATCCTCTGCCCTCCTGACCTTCTTGGTACATACTAGATACTGGTCTTTTTTCCAGTTCTATTTTTGTACTGTGCTTCTTCCTGCTTCAGAACCTTTATATGTTTTATTCCCTCTGCATGGAATACTCTTTCTTTCCCTTCCCCTTTCTCTTCCTACCCTAGTTCACTTGTACTCATCCTTCAGATATCAGCTCGAAAGTCCTTATTTCACAGAAGCTCTGGATTAGGACCCCTCCTGTATTCTCTCTCTCAGTCATGCCATTTGATCTTCTGTCTCACAAACTAGACTGAAAACTCCACAAGGGCATGAGCATTGAGTGTACTGCTTGCCAGTGTATGTTTCTGAATAATGAACCCTTAATAAATACTTATTGAATGCTCCCTTCCAGCTCTGATATTTTATATCAAGGAAGTGGCAGGGTTTTTTTCAAGGTTATCTATGGTTAGGAATGGAAGCCTATTGGAAAACTTCATGATTAATAAGAATAATACAACACAGCATCATTGGTCAAATATGGGTTAAAAATGAACTTTGTATTTCATAATTGACATTCTGTGAGGAGATATGAATCCATATAGAATCTGGCACAAGAAATTCTGGTTTGAAGTCACTGGAGAATTGTGTGTATTGATTGGTATTCTTGTTGACATGTAAGGCATGTAAATATCTAGTACATTTAATTGCTTTGATATTTAACTTCCAAAAAAAGTAAAAGGCCGACTGACTTTTTTGTTAGGCAATAGTTAATGTTGTCAATAGTTTTACTTTTGAAAAAGTACTTGGATAAAGTTAGCACTTTTTCATTTTTAGGATTGTTTTGAGGATTAAGTAAGTAATGTATATGAAAGTAGTTTAAAGTACATGTTCAATTTATTATTATTGTGATATTAGGCAAGTATGTTCAAGATTCTTGTTATGTTTACTCATTCAAAAATGGGGATAAAATTAGTATTGACCTTAATGGCTTATCATGGGAATTAGATGAGATAGTAATGCATGCATTCAAAGAGCTTGGTATACTGTAAACCCTGGAAAATATTCACTATTATGTTAGCTATTATTATTTCTAAACTTTTTAAGTTTAAGGGCTTCGATTTTTAAGTCATTATAGAGAATCTGAGTTCTTTCATTAGAATTCAGGGTTTAGTCTCCTTTGTGACTTTTGGCGTTTTAATTAAATACTTCATGCTTGTGATTTTAACTCCTTTAAAAAGGATAAATGGTATTTGTACAGCTAATTAAGGTTGTAAATAATTGATGTTTTTAAGAAGCTCACAAAGAAAACACCAAAATCTGTTGTTAAATAGAATTGAGTAATCTCTTTCCTAAGGGACCTTTTAAAACAAGATATATATATATATCATTGTTTATTCCTGTAATGATTTGGGTCAGTTTCTTCTTTTTGTTTCTTTGTTTTTTTGAGAAAGGGTCTTGCTCTGTCACTCAGGCAGGAGTGCAGTGGCGTGATCATAGCTCACTGAACCTCAAACTCCTGGGCTCAAGCGATAATCTTGCCTCAGCCTCTTGAGTAGCTGGGACTACAGGTGGGTGCCACCACGCCTAGCTAATTTTTCTATTTTTAGTAGAGACGGGGGTCTCACTTTTGCTCAGGCTGGTCTTCAACTCCTGACCTCAAGCATTCCTCCCACCTTGGCTTCCCAGAATGCTAGCATTGCAGGTGTGAGCCACATTGCCTGGCCGATTTGGGCCAGTTTCTAATACTGGGAATCATCTTATGATTCTGACAGGAATATTGATATCCTTTGATCATCATTCTTTGGATGATGAATGACATCTGCTGTTGCTGCTGCTGCTGCCACCATCACAACTGCTGCTTCTGAAGGGTGCTCTCATTCCTTTATCTTCTTTGCATGTTGGCTAGTGGCATAGATCTATTCCCTTCTCTGCTGTAATATGTAGTGAAGAGAACAACATGTAGTAGAAGATGCCTTAGAGTTATCCCTGCTGCTTTGCTTAGTGTCTGGAAAATAACGGATGCTCACTAAATGCTCATTGTGTTTGAAAGTCAGTAAGAACCAAGGAGAGATTGATCATATGGGGAAATGATATTCAAATGTGTGCCCAAAAAACTGTAGCCATTGTAAAAGAGAACTGTGGGCAACAGAGATCTAAACACATTGAATAGACTCTAAAATAGAGCTTGTCTGCAGTTTTTTGCTTCTTAGTGCTATTACACTTTTAATGCTCTGTATATTTGTAAGAATGACTCTGGGATACAGTAACTGACAAAAATAAATGTCATTGTATATTCTCTTTCAGATTTACCAAAAATTTGTCTCCTGATAAGATCAATCTAAGTACCCTTAAAGGAGAAGGTGAACTGAAGAATTTGGAGTTGGATGAAGAGGTGCTACAGAACATGTTGGATTTGCCAACGTGGCTTGCTATCAACAAAGTGTTCTGCAATAAAGCATCCATTAGGGTGAGATTTTTACCTGTGGTTTGATATCTGTGGAATGCCTTTTATGTTTTCATTCTACATTTCATGTCTGTCTTTTAAAAAATGTTACATATAATTCTATAAAGAAGCATTTTTATTAACATAATTTGGAAAGAAAAATGGCTTTGCACAAATGACTGCATGCCTTATATAATTGAAATCAGTTATTAATTAATACTATATAGGTCTTAATTTTTGTTTAAATTTTAATTGTATTATCTTAAGTAAAATAGTTTGTTAATAAAATAATTGTTTCCATTTGGTACATATTTAAAGATAGGCTTTTTTCATAGGATATATTGTCAGATGGGATAATTTAAATTTGTAGTGAGTAAATACTTGATTTCAAATGAAGACATAAGAATCAATAAATTCTTTCTGTACACATAGTTGTATTTTCAATTTTATCCCTTTTTAAATTTGTTCCCATTTTGAGATTTTTTAAAAGTTTTCTATTTACTATTATTATTATTACTACTTACTATAACTTATTTTACTTATCTTTGTCTCTAATCATATGACATTTTGTACCATTTCTTGCTCTTAGAGACCAGGCTTAGTTTGAGAGTCTGCTCAGCAGAAATACTGCGCGCTAATTTGTTTCATAAACTAAAATTTGAGCTACTAAGAAAAGATTATGGAAAAGATTCCCATGTCCTTTAATCATCACCTTAAACTTTTGTTCTGTCTTCCATAAAGCCAAATATTTATAAGACTTGATATTTTTAGAGCAGGATATGTATAGTTGAACATTATTTATTTGATATTGCCTATATTTTATATTAATGCTTTCACTTTTGTATTTTGTCTTGCATATTTATAAAACAATTGGGAAGAATTCTAGGATTAAACACAGATTGTTAAATGAACAGGATACTGATTATGCTTTCTTTGCTGGCAACTCTTAAATTATGAAATAAAAATGTGTTTTAAGGACTGGGAAAAAAAGATACTTCAAAGAACTTGGGATTAATAAAATGTGGTATATGTATACCATGGAGTACTATTCAGCTCTAAGAAACAATGGTGATATAGCACATCTTATATTTTCCTGGTTAGAGCTGGAACCCATACTACTAAGTGAAGTATCCCAAGAATGGAAAAACAAGCACCAGATATATTCTCCAGCAAACTGGTATTAACTGAGTAGCACCTAAGTGGGCACATAGGTACTACAGTAATAGGGTATTGGGCAGGTGGGAGGGGGGAGGGGGGCTACATACATAATGAGTGAGATGTGCACCATCTGGGGGATGGTCATGATGGAGACTCAGACTTTTGGGGGGAGGGGGGGAAATGGGCATTTATTGAAACCTTAAAATCTGTACCCCCATAATATGCTGAAATAAAAAAACAAACAAACAAAAAAAAAGAACTTGGAAGTTCCCATTTAAGAAGATGACTAAGAAAATACAGCTAGTAATATTTTCTTATATAAAATGGTTATATCTGATTTCAAAAGTATAAATGAGTTGCTCAGGTTATTATTTTGCAATTTAAGAAAAAAGTCATTGGATATAATTTGATATGTCTGTCACTGTATTAAGAGAGCAACCGTGTTGATATTGCTTTTTTTTTTTAATGATTCATTTCAAAGAGTTTTTTTATTTGTAGATCCCATGGACAAAACTGAAAACACATCCTATCTGTTTGGTGAGTTCTGAAATCACCTCAGAAGTAAACATATTAATATATTCACATTATGTAGCTACTCTGTTAATATTAATCTTTTGTTTCATGGAAACATAATTTCTTGGGTTTTTCACTAATTAGCTTTCATTTGCTTTTTATGGAACTTAGTTTTCTCAGCTGTTAAATGAGAAACATCAAAAATAGGATCTTTAAAGTTTTTCAGATCTAGAATGTTGTGTTCTAAGTTTAGTATTTTATTACATCATTTAACTCTTCATTGACATACTATGGAATTTTTTTTTTTGAGACAGATTCTCGCTTTGTTGCCCAGGCTAGAGTGAGTGCCATGGCATCAGCCTAGCTCACAGTAACCTCAAACTCCTGGGCTCAAGCAACCTCAAACTCCTGGGCTCAAGCGATCCTCCTGCCTCAGCCTCCTGAGTATCTGGGACTACAGGCATGCACCACCATGCCTGGCTAATTTTTTCTATATATTTTTAGTTAGCCAATTAATTTCTTTCTATTTATAGTAGAGATGTGGTCTCGCTCTTGCTTGCTCAGGCTGGTTTCAAACTCCTGACCTAGAGCAATCCACCTCGAGCAGTCCGCCTGCCTCGGCCTCCCAGAGTGCTAGGATTATAGGCGTAAGCCACCGCGGCCAGCCTGGAATTCGTTTTTTAATATTTGATCCTGACTTTTGTGAATTTCTATTTTTACTGATCTAATAAATTAAGTAACATGTTCTTTAATATAATTTGCATTTAAGGAAGGTCAAAGAAAATTGATTACTTGGTCATTTATTGATTCACTCCATAAATATTTATTGAGTCCTGACCTGTGCCCTGAGAGAACTTATCTTTTAATAGAGGAGACTAACAATGAACAGGTAAACAAATGAGATAGTTTCAGATAATAAATGCTGTATTTAAAGTAGGAAATAATGACCAGAATTATGTTAGTGATGACTGTGAAGGACAGTAGATCTTTCTTCAAGGAAAAAAGTATTACCCTAAGAAAGAATTTTTTCTGTTATGGGAATGTTTATTTTTTTCACATTTCCTGCTTCTTATTTTCTGTAGTTTTATGTCTTATGTGTCAGATCTTAAAATGGGGATAAGATTTTTAAGAGTGATTAGCTGAGCACGGTGGCTGGCTCCTGCTTGTACTCCCAGCTTCTTGGGAGGCTAAGGCAGAAGAATCACTTGAGCCTAGGAGTTTGAGGTTATAGTGAGCTATGATGACACCACTGCACTCTAGGCAGGGTGACAGAGTGAGACTGTCTGAAAAAAAAAATTTAAGTGTGATTCAAGCCTATTTACTAATATATAATCTTATCAAATAATAATGTATGTCTGGGGTTAGATATTGCATTTTCATAAAATCTGATGATCTCAGCAGTAAACAGCTACTTCTTAATGTTTTATGCCCATACTGCTGTAATATACACAGCTTTCCCACCAATAATAAATGAGTGCTTTGTTTTCTTTTTTAGCATTTGTCTTTTTAGATGTTTAGAATGACACTTAAAAGAACTTTTCTCACTTGCTGTTTACTTTGCTCCTAAAGAAATGAAAGAGAAAATAGTATTATAATATATGCAAAATATACAGAAAATATAATATCTAATTGTTTGCATTTTTAACATTTTTATTAGTCCCTGGATAAAGTAATAATGGAAATGAGTACATGTGAAGAACCACGAGCCCCTAATGGCCCATCACCTATTGCAACTGCTTCAGGACAAAGGTAAGCTATTTCCATTAATTTGTATGGCTGTCAGTGGGAGTGCTTTTCTAAATCGACTCTGTTATCTGTAGTAATGAGATGTAAAGAACATAAAATCCCTTAATAGCTTCTATTTCAGTACCCTCTCCCATCAAACATTTTATAGTTTTTATTATATATATTGCAAAAATAGCAAAAATAATATGAATTTTAGCTTGTATATTAACCTTGCTTTCCTTGCAATAAATAGTAATGATAAACCATGGGCAGAGCAGCAGCTGAAGATGGAAACAGAAGAACTTAGGCATTCTCTAAATTAGATAGTCTCCTAGTCTCTGAAACTTAATAGTTTCTCTGCATATCATTTTTTCTGTATCAATGGGAATTTTGACTCTTTAAGAGTTAAGCTGATGCCTTAATAAATTACAGACCTTTCTGGTTGCTCTTAAAAGTCATTAAATATAAAATGTTTTTACTTTTCCACAGGTTGTATTTTGATAGATAAAAATCAGATGCTAATAAAGTAGAAGCATTGGGACCATTTCATAAAGCCTTTTTGAAAAGTTAGACTACTTCTCTGAAATTTTTTTGCTAAAAATTGCCTACTTAATTTTTGCATTCAGTAAGTTTGGATCTCTTACTATACTTCATTTCCCTAAGGCAGAATCTCTGCATTATTTTTGGATTCGCATAATTTTTAATGTGATTAGTGCCTCCTCATGTGTAACATGGCAGTGCTGCGCATCTAGATCCACCTTTATGTTAGTGCATTCTATAAAAATACTTACAGTCTGATCAGTAGTTTACACATGGCAATCTCATGGTGATCCATTCCACTGCTAAGAGTTGTTTAATGGTCATGTTTATCAGATGTACAGTTTCTTTTTTTCTTTTTTTTTTATTCTACTTTTTTTTAATCCAATTTTTTAATTCTATTATTGATAGAATAGTTGGTTGTTAGATTGCCTAGCGTTGGAAAGAATTGAAATGAACCATTTTTGTCCATGTGTGCTTAGTGTAGTTGTTAGTGTTCTTCCTTATCCTTGTTTTTATAGTATCAATAAGCTTTATAATTTTGGTTTTGTAATCATGATAATCTTATATCAATATTTTGATATATGGCAGCATGATTATTCTATTACAGCATTTTCAGACTTAATCGTTTATGGTGCTGCTTAAATCTACCAAGTCTTTTAAGCTCCTTCTCTTATAATTGTGATTCCGTAGGTCTTGAATAGGTATAAAGAATATTAATACGCATTTTAACACGTTGTTGTAGTCATGCATCTTAGAGAAGCACTGATCTATTTGATTTTGTTTCTAGCTAAGATTAAAAATCAAGAAATTAACAGCAGGCTGGTGCTTCCCTCTGTGCAGGTCCTGTCGGCTGAAAATGCTCCTACAGATTAATGGTCTATTAAACATTGTAAGTTCAGAAATTTGATTTTTCATTTCACACAGAGGAGAAACATCTGTGTGAAGATTAGTCAAACTCAGAAGAGCTAGTCGTCCCTTTTTATGTGTCAAGGATTGGTTTCCAGAACACCCCATGGGTACCAAAATTCATGGAAGCACAAGTCTCTTTAATAAAGTGATGTAGTATTTGCATATAACCTATGTACATCCTTACGTATACTTTAAATAAGCTCTATATTACTTATAATACCTAGTACAAAGCCTACACATCACTTCATTCACATGATTCAGTGTAGCAGTTGAGACACAGGAAAATCAAGTTTTGCTTTTTGAAACTTTGTGAGTCGCCCCCCCCCCCGAATATTTTCAGCCAGAGTTTGGTTAAATCATTGATGCAGAACCCATAGATACAGAAGGCCAACTGTATTTGTAAATGGTAATTTCACCTTTCTAATATATAATGGACAACATAATCTAAAAAATGTAGACTTTGTTCATTAATTCAGGCTTCACTCTTTTCAGGTGGTAATCCTTGAATATGGATTATAACATTTTTAGTTTATATAGAATTAGAGATGGCTTTGGATATTCCAAAGGGTATTCCCATACAGTTATTCTAAGAATATTTCTATCTTGAGTGACCAGTATTTATCTTTAGGATCAAAGCAGCTCCTCTCTAAGATGCTGATGAGTTCTTGGTCTTTAGTTCTCAATTTTTTTAAACTCAGAGTATTTGACTGTTTTGTTTTATAACAGAATTACCTCACGGAAGCCAAGGAGTATTTAAATTATTACATAGACACCATTTCACATAAGGACCACAGCAGCCTTTTGAGGCAGATATTATTTACATTTTATAAATGAGGAAGCTGACGCTCAGAGACTTTCAGGAGTTTATTAATAATAATATACAGTCAGGTACTGCATAACAATGCTTCAGTGAATGATGGAATGCACATATGATAGTGCATAAGTTTATAATACCATTTTCATTTTACCTTTTCTATGTTTAGATATGTATAGATACACACTTAACATTGTGTTACAGCGGTCTACAGCATTCAATATGGTAACATGCTGTGTGGGTTTGTGGCCTAAGAGCAATAGGCTATACCATATAGTGTAGGTATGTAGTAGGCTAACCTATTTATGTTTATGTAAGTACACTCTGTGATAGTCCCACAATGACAAAATCACCTAATGACACATTTTCAGAACGTACCTCCATAGTTAATGCATGACTGTACTACTATTAATAATAATATGTATAGAGGGCCAGCACAGTGGTTTACTCCTATAATCCCAGCACTTTGGGAGGCCGAGGAAGGAGGATTGCTTGAGGCCAGGAGTTCAAGTCCAGCCTGAGCAACATAATAAGTTGCTGTTTCTACAAAATAATTAGCCAAGTGCAGTACTGCACACCTGCAGGCTGAAGCAGGAGGATTGGTTGGGCCCAGGAGTTTGGGATTGCAGTAGGCTGTGATCATACTACTTACTGTACTCCAGCTTGGGCAACAAAGTGAGACCCTATATCAAAATAAATAAATGAATAAAATATGTGTGTATATATATAGAGAGATAGATATATTTTATAAGGTATTTATCATGAGTTAAGAGATGGTCTGTTTGTTCATATGTATTATTTCATGTAATCCACATATAACCCACAAAGTACTACCTCATGTAAAAGCTGAGTGAGCTCAGGCTTAGAAAGTTATTTCACTCTATTTGCATGTGTACCCATATACCTGAACTCCCACTTACATGTGAGAACATGGAGTATTTGACTTTCTGAATTATTTCTCTAAGGATAATGGCCTCTAGGTCCATCCAAGTTGCTGCAAAATACATTTCATTCTTTTTTGTGGCTCAGTAGTGTAAATATATGTACCCCATTTTTTTAATCCAGTCATCCATTGATGGACACATAGTTTGATCCCATGACTTTGCTATTGTGAATGCTGCTGCAATAAACATACTAGTGCAGGTGTCATTTTTATATAATGATTTTGTTTTCCTTTGGGTAGATACTCAGTAGTGGGATTGCAGGAATGAATGTTAGATCTACCTTTAGTTCATTGAGAAATCTCCATGCTGTTTACCATAGAGATTGTACTAATTTACCTTCCCACCAACAGTGTATAAACATTCTCTTTCTCTGCATCCTTGCCAACATCTTTTTTTTTTCCTTTTTAATAATAATTAAATCTGACCGGTACAAAATGGCATCTCATGGTTTTAATTGGCATTTCTCTGATGATTAGTGAGCATTTTTTCATGTGTTTGTTAGCTACTTGTATGTCTTCTTTTGAAAAATGTCTGTTCATGTCCTTTGCCCTTTTTTTTGATGGGGTTACATACATTTTTTTTCCTGTTGTCTGAGTGCCCTGTATAATAGATTCTGGGTATTAGTCCTTTGTCAGTGCATAGTTTATAAATATTTTTTCCCATGCTGTAGGTTGTCTGTTTACTCCATTGATTATTTCTTTTGCTGTGCAGAAACCTTTTTGGTTTATTTAAGTCCCATTTGTTTTTGGTTTTGTTGCATTGGCTTTTGAGGTCTTATTTGCCCAGGCCAGTGTCCAGAAGAGTTTTTTTCCCTAGGTGTTCTTCTAGGATTTTTGTATTTTCAGGTCTTTAACATTTAAGTCTTTAATCTCTCTTGATTTAATTTTTGCACATTGTGAGAAATTTCATTCCAGCTTCATTCTGCATATGGCTATCTAATTTTCTCAGCACCATTTACTGAACAGAGTTTCCGTTTCCCAGCTATAGCAATCAGACAAGAGAAAGGCATCCACATTGGAAAACAAGAGTATAAATTATCTGTTTGCTGATGATATGATCTTTTACCTAGAAAACTCTAGTCTCCTTCAAGAAACTCCTAGATTTGATAAATGACTTCAGTCAAGCTTCAGTATACAAAATCAACATGCAAAAAGTGGTAGCATTTCTATACATTAATAACAGCCAAGCAGAACCAAATCAGGAACTCCGCCCCATTTAAAATAGCTACAAAAAAAATTATATACCTAGGAATACATTTAAACAAGGAGGTTAAATCTCTACAAGAACTACAAAACACTGATGAAGGAAATTGTAGATAATTCAAACAAATGGTAAAACATCCCATGCTCATGGATTGGAAGACTCAACATTGTTAAAATGTCCATACTGCACAAAGTGATTTACAGATTCAATGCAATTCCCATCAAAATACCAATGTCATATTTCACAGATCTAGAAAAAATAATTCTAAGTTTCATTCGGGACCAAAAAGAGAGCCTGAATAGCCAAAGCAAACTTAATAAGCAAAACAAACAAATCTGGAGGTATCTGACTTAAAATTATATTATAAGGCTATAATAACCAAAACATCATGGTACTTGGTATGAAAATAGATACATAGACAATGGAACAGAGTAGCGAACCCAGAAATAAAAAGCTCCATACCCACAACCAACTGATCACCCACAACCAACTGATCTTCCACAAAGTTGACATGGGTGAGAGGCAGCCAGGTGGAGGTATCTGGTGAACAGTTGCATGTTACAATCTGAAGTTCTAGTAAAAAGATCTGGATAGAGACATAAATTTAGGTGTAATGAGCATAATGATGATAATTGATATAATCTGTCAGTTGGGCAAAACTTTAAACACCCCTTCTGCCAAAACATATTGATAATTCTATATTCTAGTTATACTGTACCACTTGTTATTCTCAAAATGTGATCTTTCCTTTCCTACCTCACTGTGTCTTTGTTCATGCTTTTTTCATTCATCTCCTAGATTTATTTTTCCCTAGTTATCAGCAATCTATTCCTCCACCGGGTATACTGTTGTTTCCGTTTTTAAAGTACTTAATTATGGACTGACTCATGTTATATTGTAATGCTACAACTAAATTTTAGTTTTATGTCCCAGCATCATTCACATGGTAGTAGATCAACAAACATTTGTTAAATTAAATTAGAGAATGTGAATTTTTTCTGACTTTACTCCTAAATTATGAGGTTATATTCCAATTAGACTCTGTAGCCTTGTTTGTGTTAAGAATTTAGCTCTCTTATTTACTTTATAGATGTCAATTATCTGGACTAATGCTTTTTGAGAGTAAACAGATATAGATATTGATTTTAATAGAGACCAACTTCCAATTTTATAAACTATTTTACATTTTGAGAAGAACATTTTTTATAACTTATGTCTAACCTGACTAGATTATTGTTTTAACAAAAAAAATGTATTTTTTAAACCAAAATGAATAACATAATATTAGGGTTGTTTATATGTGTACTTATGAGAATATCACCAGATAAATTCTATTAAATGATTTTTTTGGTTTAGTGCATTATATTTTATTTTATTTTGTTTTTCTAGTGAATATGGCTTTGCTGAAAAAGTAGTTGAGGGAATTACTGTTTCTGTAAATTCCATTGTCATCAGAATTGGAGCAAAAGCCTTCAATGCATCATTTGAACTTTCTCAGCTACGGATCTATAGTGTAAATGCAAACTGGGAACATGGAGATTTAAGATTCACTCGTATTCAAGATCCACAGAGAGGAGAGGTAAAGACTGTTTTTCTCTTTAAAAAAAATTGTTTTGGTGATAAATAAAAGTGGACACTTACAACAATCATATCTTAATTGTTGCCCAGATTCACTTACTGCCAGATATACACTTCTTACCTTTTAACTATCCTTTTCTCTTTGTTACTCTTAATTATTTAACTTCCCAGCCACTCAGGATTGAATTTTTAAATTTACAAAACTCTGATATTTAAATGCTTCTTGGTCACATGGTTGAAATATTCTTTGTACTTTATATTAGTTAAATTGTTTAGAATGAAATATTAACAGCTTTACAAATGATGAATATGATTATAAAGATGTTTTATTTGATGGAAGTATACAATTAAAAAATAAAACATGAATATATCTCAAATGTCATATGAAAATTAATTGAAACGATACATTTAGTTTGTTTTTACAGATCTACATATTTCTTATTCTATTTTGCATGAATAAGAGAAGCTAATCTCTGTGTTCTCCTTAGGTTTTGACATTTAAGGAAATAAATTGGCAGATGATACGAATAGAGGCAGATGCTACCCAAAGTTCACATCTTGAATTTATGTGTGCTCCTGTTCGATTAATAACCAACCAATCCAAAATCAGAGTCACACTTAAAAGAAGAGTAAGTCAACAGGATCACCTTTTTGATTCACATGTTAATTATTGGAATTAACTATAGGAAATTTAAAATAATTTGTTAGGTAAAATGTTAACATACTATCAGCGGCATATTTAAAACAATGCAAAATAAAGGGAGATAAAGTTCCTCAAACAATATTTGTAGAAATCTATTGTAATCATAACATTCCTCAGGCTTTTAGATTTAATATCTAGATTTTCACAGATTTTTATTTTTAATAAGTTGAATAGATTTCTCTCTCAATTGCCAAACATTTTTTGAATATTTGCTGTTTTAGAAGTTCATTTCCCCAATGGAATATTGCTTAGGAGTAAGGAGCAAAACTTTCATTTATCAGTAACAAAACTATTAGCTTTAGTAAATTATAAGATATGACTGGTAACTTAGATAACTAAGGAAAGGTAGTTACTTAAGGATACCAAAAGTTGAGAATCCACTATGGTTCCTGAAATGCTCACTTTTTTAAACCATGGCTCAGTTAGTTTTAACAATTTTTTTTTTTTTTTTTTGAGATAGAGTCTCACTTTGTTGCCCTGGGTAGAATGCAGTGGTGTCATCATAGCTCACTGCAACCTTAAATTCCTGGGCTCAAGGGATCCTCCTGCCTCAGGGTCCCGGGTAGCTGAGACTACAGGAACATGCCACCACGCCTGACTAATTTTTCTTTCTTTCTTTTTTTATTTTTATTTTTTCTTTTTCTTTTTTATTTTTTTTGAGACAGAGTCTCACTTTGTTGCCCAGGCTAGAATGAGTGCCATGGCGTCAGCCTAGCTCACAGCAACCTCAATCTCCTGGGCTCAAGCGATCCTCTTGCCTCAGCCTCCCGAGTAGCTGGGACTACAGGCATGCGCCACCATGCCCGGCTAATTTTTTCTATATATATTAGTTGACCAATTAATTTCTTTCTATTTATAGTAGAGACAAGGCCTCGCTCTTGTTCAGGCTGGTTTCGAACTCCTGACCTCGAGCAATCCGCCCGCCTCGGCCTCCCAGAGTGCTAGGTAATTTTTCTATTTTTGGTAGAAATGGGGTCTTGCTCTTGCTTAGGCTAGTCTAGAACTCCTGACTTCAAAGAATCCTCCTGCCTTGGCCTCCCAGAGTGCTAGGATTATGGGTGTGAGCCACCACACCCAGCCTCAACAATGTTGTTTATTACTAGGCATAAATAACTATACTAAGTAAAATTGAAAATGTGTGTTTTTAGAGTATAGTACTTAACAGATATTCTGAAATATGAAATGTGGATAAAATAGTATTTTAATTTTTAATGTTAATGCCCCTTTTTCTGCTAGAATTTATTGAATTAATATCAGTAATTATATGAATTATCAACTATCAATGCAAAATTAGTTATTAAGTGCCATATATAATAACTTGATAAGTTACAGGGATTTGTCAGTCTTTTTTTACCACTATATCTAGCACTAGGAGATATTCCTTTTATAGGAACTCAAATATTTTTTGAATGAAGGAAGAATACATATTTAATTCCATTCAAATACTTTTCAAGCTTTTTTTAAAAAAAAATATAAGTTTTATTTCTGATTTAATTTTATAAATCATTTTTTTCAACAGTTAAAGGACTGCAATGTCATAGCAACAAAGTTAGTTCTAACATTGGATGACTTATTATGGGTTTTAACGGATTCCCAGTTAAAGGCTATGGTACAATATGCAAAATCTCTTAGTGAAGCCATAGAAAAATCAACAGAACAAAGGAAGAGTATGGCTCCTGAACCCACACAGGTATGCTATAAAGTTTATAGGAAAAAGATTTACATTACAAATAAATAGTCTAAAAATAAGAATGATTTAGTTGGTGTTTCCTTTAAATGAAATACATTGTGAGACATTTATTCCAAGAATCTTCTTTATGTAGATGTCTTCTATATAATTTTATATAAATGGTATGTAGATGAAAACATGTTAAATGTGTTAATATCTATATAATGCTTGTTTTGTTTAGAGCTCTGTAGTAGGCACTAGAATTAATGATGACATAAAAGCATTTGATGTTACAATACCTCTTTAGATAGTCAACTTCAAAGGAGACACACCACCTTTCTTAGGAGAGAGCACCAGAGCACTTACTAAATCATGTCACAGGGCTTCTACAAAGAAGTGATTCACTAGTGCAGGATATATAACAATATATACAGAGCTCATATTTGTTTTATTAATATATAGAACTAAAATATTCAAATAAGCTGCCTTTAACAATCATATTTTCTAAAACAAGTACTATAAATATGTCAAAATAACTATTCAGATATTTACTGAGACATTGGGTTCATAGTCAAATTGTGAATAATTCTCAAGTTTTTAAGTTTTAGTTTTTTTCTTACAGAATTCAGAAAATATTTTAGGGGAACTGAGTTATTGATGAAAAAGAAAATGTATTGTGCTTATTATTTCTGAAAATATTTTCTTACTGAAAAATAAGAAAGTACAGCAAATATACTGAAAATATTTTCTTACTGCAAATATTTAGGCTTTTCTTGTGTTGAATTTTGGATATTTAATTTCTCAATGATAAGGCAGTTTTGAATCTTTTTAGAGCTCTACAGTAGTCCCATCTACCCAGCAAGTAAAGACACCACAGACTTCAAATGCTCCTGACCTAAATGATGCAATTGTGAAACTATTCAATGACTTTGATGTTAAAGAAACTTCCCATCATTTAGTGATTTCTCATCTAGATCTACACATATGTGATGACATTCATGCTAAAGAAAAAGGTAATAAAAAATTTGCTTATTTCAAACTATTTTGGTTTTTCTAGAATTAACTATAAAACTGGGTTTTTAAAATTATATCTGATGTGTAGTATGTACTATAAGATAATTAGTCATAATTTTATTCATGGATATATAGATGAAAAGAATAATTTGAAGCCTTATATATTGACATGAAATTTTTTTTTGCTTTAGCAGATAGTACTTAAGCTAAATTAATTGTTAGCTATCAATGCTAGCAATGAAATTGGTTTTCAGAAAGATCAAAGAGTGAACAGATTACACTTTCCTTGGAGGATGAAATTAACTGTTTAGTAATTTTGAAATTGCCCATAAATTATAGTCCATATTTCATTCATAATTATTTGCACATATGTTTTCAGCATTGTAGTTTATACCTCTATTCATATATGTCTCTAATTTATGGATTGTGTGTGTAAATGCAACTGTGAGGCTGTTTAACATATTTTGTGTCTCCCTGTCACCTCCTCCCAAAATTTGGTTAGGAAGTTAAATTCTAGATAGGAATTTTTTCTTTTCTTTTAGGTTTTGTTCCTCTTATTTTTCCTTATTTAGTAAACATAGCAGGGTAAGCAACAAGCTGCTCTTGGTCACTTTGAAAATCTAGGTGCTGGATATTTCTTTTTCTCAGCTGCAGGAGTATCTCTGGCCCACAAATATAGAGTTGGGATGGTTTAGAAGGTAGGCCTACCTCAAGGACAATGGTTCTCAAACTTTGAGTATTAGAATGAAGCTGAAGATCTTTCAAAAATAGTTATCTGATCTGCGTATCTCTATATCTAGGAAAATTGTTGCTTTGAATTTTTAAAGCTGAGAAAATGAATATTGAGACCCTGGATACTTAGTAGATACTTTATTAGATGAGACAGCTGCTTAAAAGGGTAGAGGGATAAAGGTGAGGAAGATTTTGGGTTGGCAAAGAGATTTGTTGTCCTTTCCTTTGACCACCTTTGTATCATTTGTCTTAGAGTTGGTATCTTATACTTTAGTGATTTGAAAGGAAAATCCAAAAAAAGTTACAACAAACTGAAATAACGAAATGAGGTAGTCAGGATGAATACATGAACTACCATGTGAGTTGTATTTAACTTATACTAGTTTTGAGCCTGGGACCTTGTGAAGCAAAGTAAATACTTATTGGATTGAATTTCATTTCCTAAAATCTTTATTTTCTGTAATAAAAGAGAGGCAATTATCACTACTTAGACTCTAAATATGATAAAAATTATTCATGGTAAATGTAATGTTTCTGATAATTTGCTTGATATTTCTTTTTCTTAATTCCCTTGTTCTTTTCCCAGAGTCAAATAGACGTATTACTGGAGGGGCTATGCAGCTCTCTTTTACACAGCTAACTATAGATTATTATCCCTATCATAAAGCAGGTATGTCTAACAATTTCTTTAAAAGATAGAAATCTTGCTTTAAAATTGTATAACCAATTTATTTTGCTTATTTTGCTTTAATTTGTTGAGGAGAAAATAAATATTTATCATTTTTCTTGTGGCAGTATTTTACCAAGAAATAGAATTGCCATAGAATTTATTCATATATTTTATTGAGGTTTTTGTAGATTATTAGAAACCGTAATTGTTAGAAGTGGACAGTTTTCTAAATAGTTGCGACAAAATAAGTTATTAACTAATTTTTTTTGAATTTGTAAATGATAGACTTATATATATATAAATCAAAAAAGAGTATAAAGCAAAGGATAACAGTGAGGTTAAGCGAGTTGTAGGACTCCAGATTTCACAGGCTTTTCATAGTCAACTATTGGTAGGTTCTTTTCTCCCACATCAAAAAAATAAAAATATATGGGATTACTTATGGCCAAATTAAATAATCTCACCTTAGAGCCATTTTTCCTTTTGGGTGGCATGTGGCTTTTTGTTTTTATAATTCATACAAATAAGAAAAATCAAATTATAATTAATTTTGAAGGACTTTTAAACAGTGGTGAAGTTTTTCTCTTCATACATTTATACCTGCTAATGTTTGTCATTTCTGTGTTAGTAAGTGACAGAATTTAAAGGTTGTATGATTTGCTTTGATTTTCTTTTGAAGGACTTTGTTTTATACTATCTTCCTGACTTATAAGCTTCTTACATATGCTTAAATTTTTTTAATTTTAGAAACTGTTCATATTCTGGGAGATGAAACTTTCAGTCATAAAGTACATTTTATTTTCCTAACCCTTTTATATACACATTATTTTTTTTAAAGTTTTTACAGAGAAAACCCTAATACTCTTTTGTATTTTTTTCCCCAAAACTTACTTTATGACTGATTTTCATCTTAAGAAGTTTTATTGGTTTCTTAAGTGTTTTAATAATTGGTCGGGCATGGTGGCTCATGCCTGTAATCCTAGCACTCTGGAAGGCCAAGGTGGGCAGATCGTTTGAGCTCAGGAGTTCGAGATCCGTCTGAGTAAGAGTGAGACCCTGTCTCTACTGAAAAAATAGAAAGAAATTAGCTGGACAACTAAAAAATGTGTGTATATATATATATATAAAATGTATATATATGTATGTATGTATGCATATATGTATATGTATGTATAAATGTGTATATATATAAATAAATAAATAAATAAATTAGCCAGGCATGGTGGCGCATGCCTGTAGTCACAGCTACTTGAGCCTGAGGCAGAAGGATTGTTTGAGCCTAGGAGTTTGAGGTTGCTGTGAGCTAGGTTGACGCCACAGCACTGTAGCTGGGGCAACAGAGTGAGACTCTTGTCTCAAAAAAAACAAATGTTTTAATAATTGTCATCTTAGCTTTTTTTGGATCAGGTTTTGTTAGTCACTTTACAAAAAATCTTTGATGAAAGGATTTTTTTGATGTTATTTTCTGGGATTCTGTCCAATGGAGGTTTTCCAGGTAATTGGGCATCCAGTGAAGTGTGACCAGTCATGAGGCTTTGAACTGAAACTGAGTGATTTTCCCCAAAGAAATGGGTTCTAGCCGGGCGTGGTGGCTCACGCCTGTAATCCTAGCTCTCTGGGAGGCCGAGGCGGGCGGATTGCTCGAGGTCAGGAGTTCGAAACCAGCCTGAGCAAGAGCGAGACCCTGTCTCTACTATAAATGGAAAGAAATTAATTGGCCAACTAAAAATATATACAAAAAATTAGCTGGCATGGTGGCGCATGCCTGTAGTCCCAGCTCTCCGGGAGGCTGAGGCAGGAGGATCGCTTGAGCCTAGGAGATTGAGGTTGCTGTGAGCTAGGCTGACTGCCATGGCACTCACTCTAGCCAGGGCAACAAAAGTGAGACTCTGTCTCAAAAAAAAAAAAAAAAAAGAAATGGGTTCTAGGTGGAAACCTTTCTAGATCATTTACTTTTGACACTGTTTCTCACTATTCTAAATGTTTTACTCATATTTCAGAGCAGCAAGTAGTAGGTGAAGATTGTACATTTTTCAGATATTAAAGACTCCCTGGAGAAAATGACTAAATCTCATTGGAAGAATTTCTGTAGTAGAATAAATGAAAATTGTGCATTTTTCAGTGAAATACCTGTTATTTATTTCACAGGAGATAGTTGTAATCATTGGATGTATTTTAGTGATGCAACGAAAACAAAAAATGGATGGGCCAGCGAGTTGTTGCATGAATTTGAGTGCAATGTTGAAATGCTTAAACAGGCTGTGAAGGATCATAATGTAGGTTCACCTCCTAAATCCCCAACGCATGCCTCTCCCCATCACACACAAACAGGTATTTTACCTATGACAACATTATGGCATTCCCCAATATTAAGTATATGTGTGTGCGTGCATGTGTGTGCCTGTATATATGTGTGATCATAATATTTTCTGTAAATAAGTATTATTTTTAATTAATATTTAAAATTCCTGCACCCTTCATTCAGGCCAACATGGGTTAATGAACCAAAGTGCTTTTAAAGTTAATGTAACCGGTAATAGTCATACCCAGGTAGAATTTTTCAGACTCTTACATGGCCAGTAGATCTTTCATTTTTTCCTTTTATTATTATTTTTAGTTGCTATAACTGCATATTTAAGGGGTACAGTGTGATATTTTAATATATATATACACAATTTATAATGATCAAATTGGGATAATTGGCATATTATCACTTCAAACATTTAACATTTCTTTGTGTTGGGAACATTCAAAATCTAATCTTCTAGCTATTTGGAAATATACAACAAATTATTGTCAATTACAGTCATCCTATATAGTGCTATAAAATACTTGAACTTATTCCTCCTATCCAGCTGTACTTTGTATCCATTCATCAACCTTTGGCTATCCCCCAACCCCCTCTTCCCTGCCTCTAGTAACCACTATTCTACTCTCTACTTCTATGTAGATCTCTCATTTTTAACAGGAATTCTGCCCAAAAGTTTTTGTAGGACAGTGACTTAAATGTGGTATGAATATGATTCCTTTTTAAAGAAGAATAATTGTCACAGTAACTTACATCTTGTATCACTTTATAAAGTATCTCACAAATATTATCTTCTTTGAGAAATTAGTGTTCATAAATATTTCTAGTAGCTGTTTTATTATTAAAAATAATTTTGCCATAAATTGAAACAAGTTTTTGTTTACCACAGAGCAGGAGTCCTCTCTGAAAGGGACATCCAGAGCACCTTCAGTGTTATCTCAACAATCAAAGGCTAAGCTTATGTCTAGTTCGCTTGTGGTTAGGCTTGCAGATTTCAATATATACCAGGTATGTGTTATTTTTTAAATTAAACACTTTTAGTATATCATATAAGCAATTCTAATAACTAATGCCCCCATTTTATTTAAAAATTGTTGACCATTTTTATGAAGTGGTCCAATTAGATGGTATAGAAAGTATCAATTTATTTATGTTTGTTTATATGGTTACCCAGAATTGGCCAATCTGTGAAATTAAAGGCACAGTCCTTCAGACTGCTGAGTCTGCCTAAGACTTTTGACATCAAATGCTGCAAGTTCAGAGGTTTCCTACAACTACTCTCATGTTCAATAATCACTGGAAAGACTCACAGCACTCACAGAAATCTATTATATTTATTATAGGAAAAGAAGACAAATTAGAACCAGCCATAGGAAGAAATGCATAGGGCAGAGTCTGGAAGGGTTCCAAGTGTATAACTTTTCCTCAGGACTCATTAGCCTCCCCAGGATGTGTAACATCATACATGCATAGATATATAATAGTATGCCTGAAGTATTTCTCATGTGGTTGAACTCAGTCTCTGGATGAATGGATACCAGATAAGCCAAAGACCCCACCACCAAAACACAACTAAGACGATCACATGTGGCCAGCCCCACGCTCAGTCATCTTTTTAGCATAAACTATCAGTTAGGGTCCCAGGGGCCCACAGAGAATAGGAAATTCCAATCCTGATTACTTCCCAAGAGCAAGGATAAGGGGAGACTAAATTCCTTACAACACAATGGTCTCTGAACAAACTAAAATGCCTTTTTTGCTTTTCTGGACTATGAAGTTTTAGCTATACTGTGAACATAATTTTATAGCTAAGAACTCTGTCCCATTTATACTAATAATTTTATTCAGCCAGTGATAATTTAACATCATCTGATATTGATTCTTGAGAACAATAGAATATATGACCTATTTTTTTAAAAAATAAGGATTTTAGATTTGCATCATTTATAAATTGTCCTGGTTTATTTTGATAAGTCTATAGCAGAGGTGGAGAACCTTTTCATGTTGGAAGGCAGAATTAGTTTAGCTGTAATCAAATAAGGCCACATTCAAGTAACTTCAATTAGATGTACTTTAAAAAGTATATTATTTTGTAACAGTATAGCTACTATGTACTTAATAATTTCAAAAATTGAAAACTATTTGTTAATTTTAAAGTTAACTAACCTTTTAATGACTTTGTTGTGTCCGCTTTTTGTTGGAAAACATTTGCATATTTTGTAGTATCATGGAGGTCTGCAGTTTCAGTTGATCCTCTAGATGGGTATCAGTCATTTGTGACCTTAAGGATGTCTTGATTTGAGTTAGGGAGGACAATATAGATTTGCAGCAATAAGTGATTGGAAAGTAAGAAAACATTTTTCAGGCAGGTTGCCAAGGATGTGGGTGTTCTATTGCATTTTTCCATATTTCAGTTGGATCTTTCTTAGCATCAAACAATGACTGTAAAATGCCATCTACTGAGAGCTCAATCAATTCCATCGATAGTTCTTTAGGTACCTTGGTGATATCAATAAGGTGAGGCTGAAATGCTTATTGGAGTGTGATGTCATGATTCTCAAAGTCAGCAAACCTTTCATTGTATTCTCCAATTAAGATGTCTATAATAGCTGTGTATTCTTCAGATGGTTTGCATATATCATCCTGCTAATCAGTGACCTTTGCTAACTGGGGAAGAAAATGTTCATCCAAAATTTCCTTTGGAAGAAGAAGGGTTTTAAAAAGAGTTTGAAATGATATCCAAGTTGCGTAAATTCTCAGGAAAGTGCTTTATTCAGTGTTACTTCAATAAACTTATTTTTTCAGGTCTCTACAGCAGAACAGTGTCGTTCTTCCCCCAAAAGTATGATTTCCTGCAATAAAAAATCTCTGTATCTGCCACAAGAAATGTCAGCTGTCTATATAGAATTCACAGAATATTATTATCCAGATGGAAAGGATTTTCCAAGTAAGAGTGTTTCCTATTTTGTTATTATTTGTTCATTATTTGGGAAGGGATGTTTTTTTCCTACTGGGTTTTTTGAGTTTTATAAATGTAAAAAAAGAAAATTCCATTGTTCTTTATTCTTATAATCCTTGCAAGTAGTACATAACTTTAGTCTAACAATTTTATGTATTGTTATTGTTTGTCCTTTTCCCTCCCCAGCTTGTAGCTTCCTTGCTGGCAGGAATCATGTGGTATTTATGATTCATTTTATCCCTGAGATTCAACTCATTTTTGTGTTTAGTTGCCGTTTGTTAAATGAAAGAATGAATGAGAGTTAGGTTATTTGTAGAACAAGGTCACTTTTTCTCCCTTTAGTAAAGCTCTATTTATATTTTAGCTATCAAACACAGTTTATTTTGGGAGGGCACAATTTAGTCCATAACAATAATTATAATATTGTTAGTCCTGTTGTGAATGTATTTGTTTCTTTTACTATTTGATTTGTATTGTGCCCCTTTCCCTTAATGATATGAGCATACTTGAGGTTTCTACAAGTTCATTTTAAATATTTTTAATAGCTGTATAGTAATCTATTTCATAAATAGAACCTGATTGGAAACTGCATCTAGATCTTTCTATTGCTTAGTGTACTGGGTTCCTTTATCAGTCCCAGATCTGCTTTCAGTGTCAACACCCTACTTCCTTTCTATCCCCAAAGACAAGCACCTCTGTATCACAATTGCATGTTTCTGATAGACTTGAATTATAATTTTTCTGTTTCCTTATCTGCCTTATGTAATTAACTGTGAACTTTTAAAGGAAAAGGACCATGTCCCCCCCCCTTTTTTTATTCTTTGTGCTTAGTGTAAGTACAGAGAATTGTGTAGTTGACATTCAGTGATCCTTTGCTAAAGGAAAGTGAATGAATAACATAAGCAGAAAACCATATTCAGGACATTGTTACCGTGTTATCACTGTACTGATATTCCAGACCTTGGATTTACTTTTCTTAAATTAATTTAGTTTAAAAGTTCTAGATATGAATACTTTTAGCCTTGGCAGAAGCAAATGTGTCTGAATTTTTAGAAAAAGAGATCTTCACCAAGATGTTTTGAAAACTAAATCGCTTTTATGATAGAAATATGTGTAGATTTCAGGAAGTTATGTACTTTCTAATCATAAATACTTATTTTGTGAGAACTATGAAAAAGAGTGTATTTATTATATTATTCAAGAGACACTTGAGTTTTAACTTTTTACCAAGCATTATTCTAGGCCTTGGTTAAAGTGAGGAATAAAACTGTACATGGTCCCTCCTGTCAAGTATCTACCTGGCTTATCACTTTCATAAGGAATTGGTTATTAGAGTTAGCTCTCTCATTCGAGAGGATTTAGATTAAGATCCAGGTAGTAACGTCCTGTAGAAATATATGATTGATGACCATTTTGATATGGTATTTCATCAGAAAGGTAATGGTTTTAGAAGTTTCCTTCTTGGTGAATGTAATCTTAGGAAAAGAAATCCAAATAGTACTTCCTATTTATGCAGTTAGTTTTAGATTAATTTATATATTTAAAATATTTGTATATATATTCTGAAATATTTATTAAAATATTTATATATTGTCCAGTTAGTAAAGCATTGAAAAATGTTTTTGTCTATCTAAATGTGTTTGCTATCATTCACATGTATCACTTTAATTTTGTAAATAACATCCTAAAATTTTTTTCTTAAGAAGGAGTAAAACTTATTAAAAAATGTTTTTTCTTTTCTCAGGGAAGATTTAGAGCTATCGACTTAATTAAAAATTGAAAAAAATTTTTTTCTCCATAGTTCCATCTCCCAACCTGTATAGCCAGCTAAATGCACTGCAGTTTACTGTGGATGAAAGAAGCATTCTATGGTTAAATCAATTTCTATTGGATTTAAAGCAGAGTCTTAATCAATTCATGGCTGTTTACAAGTTGAATGAGAATTCAAAATCTGATGAGCATGTTGATATTCGGGTTGATGGCTTAATGCTAAAGGTAACATACAAACAAGTTGCTGTGAGAACAAAACCATTTTTATGGAGGAAGTAAAGTTGACAGCATTATTATCTCTAGGACTTAAGATGGATATTCGAATATAAATCAACTTCATTGTAATCTTAATTTTAGTTTTGAAATTTCACACCTAATTTTGATTCTCAATTATAGAAGTTTCAAGAGTTAAGGTTTGTATGTTTCTTAGGGCTTTTTAACCTTCTTTCTCTGATTTCCTTTTATTTTTTTCACCATCCATTTCGAAGTGAGCTGTAGAAGTAAAATTTAAATCAGTAATTTTTTTCCACTTCTTACCAGAGCCAATAAATTTTTTTTCTAAGAAGGATAAATTATACTATGAAGTTTTAAAATTATGTCTGAGTTTTATTTGTTCACATTTATTGTTATTAATATTCAAAGATAATAGACATTTGCTTTTTATTATAGCCAAGTAGTTGATAATCTGAATTATATGTATATAGAAGGAAGTTTTAAAAAACAGCTCATATACTTTAGTAAATTGAGAGAATAAAACTTGGACCCAGGTGAAAATTTCAGTTTATAGTTCTGTTGCTGGTAGACTATGTTTATATACCTTAATTTCCTTCTTTCTAAAATGAGGTTAGTAACATTCAACAGTTACATGGCAGAAATATTTTAAAGATCTTCTCAAAGATCTTATAAAACTTAACTTTATAAGATTTATAAATATCTTTATAATATAATAATACATTTTTTATAATATAAAATTTAAATTTGTAACATTTAGAATTATTGTTTAAGACACAACTATACAATGATCTTTACATTTTCTGAGTTTGGGTAGTATTAAAACCGGTCACTTTAGGCTCATTGATATGAGTATTTTGGGGACTGGGTTTCATTATTCCTTGAAAATTATTTTAGTAAATAGTTTGACCTACACTCTTAAGTATATTTTCATAATCGCTTTCTTCCACAAAAATGATTCCAGCAACATCTTTCTAGTAATTCCATTCACTCATCCACGTCATCTTCCAAATCACTAGGATTTAAAATATCCTAACAAAAAATCCCTTTTCCATGCTTAATACTTCCTTCTATATACTCAGGGGATAGGAAAAATTTAGTAATAATGATTTAATTCAATTTTGTTCTTTAGTGATGTATTGTGTGCTATGTATATGTGTATATAAATGAAATGTACATTATTCTTATTTTCTTTATAAAAAAGATTTTTTCTTCTTAGTAGTAAATCATTTAAGTCTCCTTTATTGAATATAAAGGAGAAGTAAAAAAAATTGAGAGAAAGAGTTAGTGTTTTATGTCTGGATAGGAAAGTAGTATTTTGGAGGGAAATGTCAAGAAAAAGAATCACTGAGTTAAGTCATGTTCATGATTATTTAATCGCCAAGATGTGTGCATTTGCAAGTTGGACCAGATTAATTTTTTTTCTCTTTTAGCTTGTTATTCCTTCTGAAATGAAATCGGAATGTCATCAAGATCAGCCACGTGCAATTTCTATTCAGAGTTCTGAAATGATTGCCACAAATACAAGGCATTGTCCAAACTGTAGACATTCTGATCTAGAAGCTTTGTTTCAAGACTTCAAAGATTGTGATTTTTTTAGTAAAACATATACCAGTTTCCCTAAATCTTGTGACAATTTTAATCTTCTACATCCAATCTTCCAGAGACATGCTCATGAACAAGATACCAAAATGCATGAAGTTTATAAAGGAAATATTATTCCCAAATTGAATAAACATACTCTTAAAACTTCTGCTGCGATGGATGTGTGGGTTGTGTACTTTTCTCAATTTTGGATAGATTATGAAGGGATGAAAAGTGGAAAAGGACGACCAATAAGCTTTGTAGACTCTTTCCCTCTTTCTATCTGGATTTGTCAACCAACAAGATATTATACAGAGTCACAAAAAGAGCTGCAGACTTGTGATCAAGTATCTCTAAATACATCACAAAGTGAATCTAGTGATCTAGCTGGCCGGTTGAAGCGGAAAAAGCTCTTGAAGGAATATTATAGTACAGAGTCTGAACCCTTCACAAATGGTGGTCAGAAACCTTCATCATCAGATTCATTTTTAAGATTTTCTTCTTCGTCATCAGAAGCAGATATTCATGTCCTCGTTCACGTTCATAAACATGTCAGTTTGCAAATCAATCACTACCAGTATCTGCTCCTCCTTTTCCTCCATGATTCACTTATTTTGCTTTTAGAGAACTTAAGGAAAGATGTAGAAGCTGTAACTGGCAATCCTGCTAATCAAACATCTGTTTGCATTGGATTTTTACTTCGAAGTGCAGAACTGGCTCTTTTGCTACATCCAGTGGATCAGGCCAACAGGATCAAGTCTCCTGTTTCTGAAAGTATGAGTCCAATGGTTCCTGATTATTTGCCTACTGAAAACGGAGAAGTTTTATCTTCAAAAAGGAAACAAGTTAGTGGTATAAATCGAATTAGAAGTGTAACTGTTAATCATATGTCAGACAACAGATCTATGAGTGTTGACCTTAGCCATGGCCCTTTAAAGGATCCTTTGCTTTTTAAATCAGCTAGTGATACAAATCTGCAAACAGGTGTTTCTTTTCTGGACTATTTATCAGACAAACATTTAGGGAAAATAAGTGAAGATGAAAGTAGTGGACTTGTTTACAAAAGTGGCTCAGAAGAAACTGGATCAGAAATAAGTGACAAGAAGGTTTCTTCTTCCAGAGATTCAAATAGTATCTTAAATAACAGAGAAGATTCAAATTTGCTGTCATTTGATAATGATAGTAATCAAAATATATTTTCAAATAGTTTAACTAGTAAACGAAATGAAACCATAGAGTCAGTCTTTAAAGCTGAAGATTTGCTTCCAGAAGCAGCTTCAGTCTCTGAGAACCTGGAAATCAGTAAAGAAGAGACACCCACAGTTATGACACTTAAGTCGCAGTCATCTTTAAGGTAACAACATATTTTTGGAATTTGGGGGATTTGGGGGAGGTATTTTGTTTTGGGGCAGAAAACCTCTTGATAAGATATGGCATTGTTAGAGTTAATACATGGAAGAATAGATTTTTTTTTAAATATGAGAATACTTTGAACCTATTTGTTTAAATATAATTTGAAAACTTGTGTATGCTATATACATATTTTAATTTTGTTCAAGTACTTTCTACATAAAATTGTTTTTTATACATGTAGTGATTTTCTAAATTTTCTAATAATTTTGTTTGTTAACAGTGGAAAGCCTAAAGAACGTTGCCCACCCAACCTGGCTCCACTGTGTGTTTCTTATAAGAACATGAAAAGAAGCTCCTCACAAATCTCACTGGATACCATTTCACTTGATAGCATGATGTTGGAAGAAATGTTTTTAGAAAGTGATGGAAGTGATAGCCATATATTTTTGGAAAAAGGTAAATCAATACAGTTTAAGAATTCTTATTAGACACACAGGTCTTATAAGAAAATTATGTTTAACTTTTTTAGTTATATTCAATAATTGGGTTTTTTTTTTTTTTTGAGACAGAGTCTCACTTTGTTGCCCAGGCCAGAGTGAGTGCTGTGGCATCAGCCTAGCTCACAGCAACCTCAAACTCCTGGGCTCAAGCAATCCTTCTGCTCAGCCTCCCGAGTAGGTGGGACTACAGGCATGCGCCACCATGCCCAGCTAATTTTTTTTTCTATATATAAGTTGGACAGTTAATTTCTTTCTGTTTATAGTAGAGATGGGGTCTCTCTCTTGCTCAGGCTAGTTTCGAACTCCTGACCTTGAGCAATCTGCCCGCCTTGGCCTCCCAGAGTGCTAGGATTACAGGCGTGACCCACTATGCCCGGCCAATAATTGCTGATTACATCCGACAAAAACTGACTTAAACACACACACACACACACACACACACACACACAACACACCCACCACCCACCCACCCACCCACCCACCCAGCCACCCCAAGAGTACCTAACTTTCTAATGGTTGTTTAATGGTTTCTTTTAACCAGATACTTCTTCCTCTTTATGGCTGACATCTAGCAGTTATTTGTATGTGGTCATTTAGACCATAAAGCAGCCAACTTTAAGGCTACTAGCCTCTTTTACATAGACTCCTGTAACTGGAAATTTGATTAGGTGGGCTTAATTTGCATGGTGAATTCTCAATTATATGGTCCTATGAATAGAATTTTTCCAGACTGGGGCTATGGGTTTACAAAACCAGGATTCTTTCACATATATGATGATGTATTAGGGAACGCATGATTCCCCCATTTCATTCAGAGGCAACCAATGCTCCAGTAAAGACCACTAGGAATGACTTAGAAGGTATTAGATGCATATCTCTCAGCAAGGCATTGGAACCTTTGTGAAGAGGAATAAAATCATGGGCCATAGTCAGGTAGTAGTTGCCAAAGACATAGGAACATAGGAGACCAGTAGCAAATAGAGATTACTTTCTATTTGAAGGGAAATAAGCCTGTTGACAAGTTGAAAATGGGTTAGTTTAGATAATTAGCAATATAATAATAAATAAAGTATATGAGTAATAATATAATAAGTATTAATGTAAAGTATTATTAATGTAATTGAAATTGGGTTAGTTTAGATAATTAGTAATATAATAATAAATAAAGTAAGTATATGAGTAATAATATAATAAGTATTATTAATGTAATAGTACCTACCATTTATTGCCAGGTGTTGTTTTAGTCAATTTTTATGCTGCTATGACATAATACCAGGGACTATGTAATTTATAAAGAACAGAAAATTATTTCTCACAGTTCTAGAGGTTGCGAAGTCTAAGTTGAAACCTTACCAGATTGCCTGTGTCCTCCCATGGTAGAATTCACAAGGGCAAAAGAAGCTACCTGCAGCCTCTTTTATAAGGGCCTTGATCCCCTTCACAAGGGAGGAACCCTCATAGCATGATCACCTCTTATAGGCCCCACTTCTTTATGCTGTCACTTTGGCCACTCATGAAATTTGGAAGGAACACATTCAAACCATTGCAGGTGCTTGAATAGTTTACTTATTTAATTTGAACAACAACCCTGTAATAACAGTTATATGTTACTAGTATATATAATATTATTGTAACAGTGACTAACATTGAGCATTTACTATGCATTGACACTGTTCTATGTGCTTTGTATATATATTAATGCATTTAATCCTCACAACAATTCCATCAATAATGTACTGTTATCTTCAGAGAGAGGTTAAATAACTAACCCAAGGAAACATAGCTAGTAAGTGGTAGAGTTATCATTTGAACCCAGGCAGTCTGAGCTCTTCTCTTTGACACTAACATGCCTTGTTAAAACAAATTCACACTGCACAAAAAAGTCAGAAAAAAGCTCTCTACTAGATCACAGTTAACTCTAAGTAGGTGGGAGATACTAGTCAGTCCTACCTTACATGATAGATGACATTTAATAACAACAATAACAAGCATTTATTGAACAACCCTAGTCACTCTGCTGAGTGCTATAAAATACATTGATTTATTTAATCCTCAAAACAGCTATAAATGGTAGTTAATTATGATTCTTGATCGCTTTGATATAGATTTAGAAATTGAAACTTAGGGAAATTAAGTATCTTCTCTGAAGTTATGCAACCAGGAAGTAATAGAGGCAGATTTGTCAGCTAGCCTGACTGAAGAACCCAAGGTTTTAACCAACCAATATGTTATACCAGTTCCCCTGACTTAGTAAATGATTACCATATGTAAACAAAATTCTCAATCTAAACCTGTTAAAGATAATTCATAGCAATCTTCTTTCCAGCATATTGGTTAAATGTTTAAGAGTTACTGATAAGGGTCATAAAAATCTACTCTAGGTTTTCAGGTAGCTCTAATTTCCCCTTGCCCCCTTTATGGTGGATAATCCTTCCTTAACACAGAGTCCTATGATCAAAATACTTCAAAAACAGTGTACCTGTGGGAAATATCCCTATTTAATCTCCAACTATCAGTGATTTTCTTATTGTTATTTCTTAGAATTGATAAGTAAAAGTGACTGCCACTCAAATATGGAAAACTTGGAATATACAACTACAATTCAGAAAATAAAATCACCCAAAAGTCTCACATTTTAGAGATATCAACTATGATTTATTCTATGAATTTGTGTAGTACCATATATATGGGTATTTGTCGTCATATTGCATATATGGTTTATAACCTGCTTTTTGTTACCTGTATTTCCTAATATTATTTAATCTTCTTTGAAAATATTTTTAAGCCTATATAAGGTTGCCATAAGCATGTACCATGACCTTTTACTCATTGTCCTAATGTTAGGTGTTTAGATTGTTTATAATTTTTGGTTATAAAAATGGTATAGTTAATATCATTCATAAATTTTTTCTGCATTTCTCATTACTATCTTAGAATAGATTCCAGCAGTAGCCATTTTTAGGGTCTTGAAAAATGTTGATGTTGTATGTAACATTTAAACATTTAACATTTAATATATTCCTGTTCTCTTGAACTCTTCATTATTCATTTTATGTTAAAGGAACGAATTTTCCTTGGGAGGAAGCTCTTGGTGTTTTGTTTTAATTAAAAATATATATATATGTGTGTGTGTATATATATATATATATATATATATACTCATTGTAAAAAAATCTGATGGAAATGTCTAAAGTAAAAATTGAAGATACCATTTTAATATTACCCTTACTCTGCCCTTGATATCATTCTCTACTATAGAAGTAACTACCATCAACTTTTGGTATATATACCTCCAGGCCTTTATCTAAATAATTTTTTATGTGTATATTTGTGTGTCATACACATCCATATGTATACAAACATATGCTAATGTATGTATGCATGCATGTATGCATATTTTTGAATATATATATTCATGAATACTCATACATGAATACATAACTGGACTACCAGGCAACTACTGGCTTCTAACTTCATTCTTAACTATTTGCAATTCATTCTTTATTCCATAGACAAAATACTTGCTAAAAACCACAAATTTGATAATGTCATTCCTAGTTTAATTTTTCTATTCATTTTTATGGTATTTTTAAAAAGTATTGATCTGTGATGAACACAAAATTTTTAAAAAATTGTCATTTACCACAGATAGTTTGATAAAAATTGAAGTATAGCACACTGAGAAATTAAGGCTGCTAGAGATAAGGATGGAGAATATCACGTTAATAATAGTGGTATTAACTTTATGTGAAAGATTATTAGGAGTTGCTGTAGGATATTGAAAAGAGAAATGAAGTGGTCAGATTGGGACTATTCAGTGTGAGTAGGTGAGAAGAGGGCAAAGCTGACCAGGAACCTGTTGGTTAAACCAGCACTGCAGCTACATTGTAGAGAAAACAGGCTGAGTTCAGTGGCAGATTTTTAATACTATGCTCAGGGCTGTAGTATAGCTAATATTATATTGTGGGAAATTATTTCTCCTTATTTGTTAACTAACCACAATCTAATTTTTCTTTTTGTCTTTTAAATAACGCTATGCTTGAGAAAGAGTTGAAGGAATAGTTCATTTTGGTTAAACACACACTGTTAGGTCACATGTAAAACTGATTTTTAATTTATTATTTTACTTTTGTGCTAATTCAGGAAATAAAAAGAGCTCAACTGCAAATTACCAGAGCCCAGCTGAGAGTTTGAATGCTAGCACAAGCCTACAGAATTATGGTGAAACCTCTCCAGATGCCGTCAGTACAAATTCAGAGGGTGCTCAAGAAAATCACGATGACCTGGTAATCATTTCAGAGAGATTCTTTCAAGAGAAATGCCATCAACTTTATTTCATGTTTGATATGTATACTTTTAAGACATTAACATATAAAATGAATACTTAGGTGGTAGGTGATTCACTTTGCTCCTTCTAATTCTTGAAAATGCTTCCTTAATGAATTGTTCTTCTTTACATTTTACTTTCCTAAATGTGTCTTATTCACATTCTGTCTTTTTTCTGTCTTGCCTTTTATTTTTTGACCTATTTTTAAATTTTATTTATTTATTTATTTGAGACAGAGTATCGCTCTGTCACCCTGGGTAGATTACAGTGGCATCATCATAGCTTGCTATAACTTCAAACTCTTAGACATAAGCGATCCTCCTGCTCAGCCTCCCGAATAGCTGAGACTACAGGTGTGCAGCACCATGCCTTGCTGATTTTTCTATTTTTAGGAGAGACAGGGTCTCACTCTTGCTCAGGTTGGTCTCGAACTCCTGAGCCCAAGCTATCCTCCTGCCTCTGCCTCCCAGAGTGCTAGGATTACAGGCGTGAACCACTACACCCAGACTGACCCATATTTTGTCCCTTTTAAACACATTGAATAAGTTTGATTGCAAGGAAGGTTGTTAGTCCTTATATTGAGGGGCTTTCTACAAAGGAAATATGTTATTGGTTTCTTTTATGCCCTCTTGATGCAGTGAAATATTCTTTTTTTTTTTTTTTAAGAGAAAGGGTCTCACTCTGTTGTCCAAGCTGGAGTGCAGTGGTATGATCATAGCTTACTCTGCAGCCTCAAACTCCTGGGTTAGCGCCAGCCTCCTGCCTCAGCCCCACCAAGTAATTGGGACTACATGCATGTACCACCACGCCCAGCCAATGTTTTTATTTTTTATAGAGCCAGGGTATGTTGCCCAGACTGGTCTCGAACTGGGCTTAAGCAGTCCTCCTGCTTCAGCCGCCCAAAGTGCGGGGATTGCAGGCATGGGCCACCATGCCCAGGCCTGAAATATTCTTAAGAAAGACTTAAAGAATATATTGTGTCCAGCTTTTAGTGAAAATCATTTTACATGAAAATGTCATAATCTTTGTGACCTAAAATATTTTTTCTTGACTAAATGGAAAAGAAACTGAAGATTGTCACTATAATGTAACAGCCATTTTTTGTAAGTCACAAATATATTTTTGTTTCGGTAGAAATAATTGTATTTTTTAGAGGTTAATGATAATTTCCTGTATTTCTTCAATTTTGTTTTCAGTTACTTGGTATACTAATATTATTTATGCAATCATTAATAGATGTCAGTTGTGGTATTTAAAATTACTGGTGTTAATGGGGAAATCGACATCCGAGGTGAAGACACACAGATTTGTCTTCAAGTGAATCAGGTGACACCAGACCAGTTGGGCAATATCAGTCTTCGGCATTACCTCTGTAATCGTCCAGTTGGTAAGATGTATTTTTTAAATTTTCAAACAAAATACTTCAATATGCTTTAAATTTGTTTTGTCTTTATATATGACTCATCAGCAGTCCTATCTTTGCTATAATTGAATTCAAGGAAAATTACATTTATTATCATAATAATGATAACAATAATGGAAGAAATTTGTTCCTTTAGATCACCTTAATTCCGAAACATGTTTTGATTAAGTTGTTAAGCTCTTTTTTTTCCTTGTCTTTCCATTCTTTAAGATAATGGGTCTTAAAAAATTGAGCTCTTTTCTATATGTAAAGAGTGATAAAGTAATCTTAAAAGGTCAAATTTAGTTATGGGATAAATATCAGTTTCTTTATTCCATTGTTTTTCTTTTAAGCAAAATATTTGGTATTGGGCATGGTATTTGGTATTTGAAAAAAACATGTATGCTGTCCTTGCAAGTTCTTCATTATGAGATCAACACACATGCTAAGCAACAAAACATGCAGTGCATAAAGAGGAAAACACATTAAACCATCCCCTTTTCAAAGTTTATGTGGAGTTATCACTTGTGGTTTTCAGTCATTTGAAGAAATTATTAGAATCATACTAAGAATTTGAAATGACAGTGTTCGTTTTAAAAAATCTTTTAAAAAGTCACTGAGCTATCATATGTTGACATAAACACAGTCTTGCATGATGTCAAATAAATATGGTATCACCTCACACCCTGGGATATGCAGATAAATGAGCCATTTGTCTATAAGCCAACATCAAAAAAAAAATCAGCTCATGGTGTTTTTCTATGTTAGGACTTGTGGTTTACAATGTATTTGCTTAAAAAAATTCAAGAATTTTATATTAGCACATTTAAATCCTAGTAGCATATAAAATGGAAGAGCTAAGTGTGCATTTAGAAAAGTTTCATAGTGAACAAAAAATAACAGGATTTGAAATAAAATTTCAAAATCTAGACCTTACTGTATACCCAACCCAAACACTTTTCAAATTGTACATTCTTAAATTACTTTCAGTTGTACAATTTTTATTTATTTTTTTTATTATTATTATTTTTTTGAGACAGAGTCTTACATTGTCGCCTGGGTTAGAGTGTCTTGGCGTCAGCCTACCTCACAGCAACCTCAAACTCCTGGGCTCAAGCAATCCGACTGCCTCAGCCTCCCGAGTAGCTGGGACTATAGGCATGCGCCACCATGCCCGGCTAATTTTTTCTATATATTTTTTTTAGTTGGTCAATTGATTTCTTTCTATTTTTGGTAGAGACTGGGTCTTGCTCAGGCTGGTTTCGAACTCCTGTCCTTGAGGAGAATGGCTTGAGCCCAGGCTTTTTGGGCCAAAGTGCTCCATGTCCATCAGGTGTCCACACTAAGTTCAGTATCCATATGGTGACCTCTCAGGAGTGGGGAACCATCAGTTTGCTTAAGGAGGGGTGAGTTGGCCCACATCAGAAATGGAGCAGGTCAAAACTCCCATGCTAATCAGCAGTAGGATTGTGCCTGTGTATAGCCAGGTCCTGACAGCCTGGACAATATAGTGAGACCTGTCTCTTAAATATAAGTAAATACTTAAGGCAAAATAAATTCCCAAGTTCTTTGTTGCTAATTTCTCTTCTTGTTAACAAGTTACTCTTGTTATTTTTCTTGATATAGGAAAGAACACTATCTAACCATTATCAATTTATGACTGTTTAACCTTCTATTTAAAAAAATAAAAATATCTGAACTTTTAAATATTTAAAGAATTCTTTGGAATTATATTAGAGCTCTTATTTATTTTAAATGTTAATAAGTAGTAATAACATTAATTAAATGTAATTTTGTACCTGAAATAAAAGTTTTAAAAATAGCTCTCTATGTTAAGTTGTGAATGGAGTCCTGTTGATACCTGTACTGAGAGGAAATAAAATGTCTTTCTATCATGAATTTAATTAGTGGGGGTCTTCTTATGAGTACTATGGGATAAATAACTTTCATACCTCAGAAACAGAAACAGCTTTGCCTTTCCAGAACAGCTAGTTTGTTTTTAATCTGATTGGCTCTGTGAATGTGAAACTGGTTGTATTTTTCTAATTTTTGCTTAGGAAGCTCATTTTTGGTCTCCCTTTGGCACAGGAAGTTAAATAATGTATTTTGGGCTATCAACCTTACCATATACCTTCTCCTTTTCTCTTCCATCCTTTTTTCCTTGTTTTTACTCATTTTTTTATCAGATTATACCATGTGCATATTGCCTCTCATTCATTTTGGAACTAGGTAGCATAAAAAAGCAAACTAGTCACCACAAGAGTCAGTTCACAAATAATTTATTTCAGGGTTTCCACTACTAACTTTTATTTTTAAATTATATATTCTATGGGAAATTTATTGAAATTTTAAAATTTGTTTTTAAACTTGTATATTTATATCTCTGCAAGCTATCTGTAATTATTTTTTGAAACAAGGCCAAGGCATAGATAAATATAATTATATGTATATGTTTGTTTTTGTGTATATGTACATACCACATATATTTCCTTTATTATAATCAGTCTTCTAATAGAAGCATTTTAGTGAGGCCTTCCTTATTTATTTTTTTATTATTTGAGGACTCAATTTAATGAGGAAGGTATAAAACCTCAATCTTAAGGGAAATGGTTTAAGGGTCACTTTAATGCCATGACAGTCACCATTCAAACGTATAAACATACGTTTGAATTCAACGTATAAACATACCATTCAAACACTAAAACATACTCTAAGTAACTGAGATAGGTATCATATCAGAGTTAATGACATTTTTTTCCTATTACCAAAAAATAGAAAATATAGGGAAGTCAACATTATTGTAGTAAAAAGTTACCTAAAAAAATTGAAATTAGAATGTATTTATATTGTATATGTACTATAGAATATCATTTAAACTAGGGGTAAATATTAAAACTATTTTGTCTATCATTGCTTTAATGTACAAAATGACAGTATTCTCTTAATGACAATATTTTTGAGCGGCACTACAAAGTTACCATTTTCATATGCTCATTTTCCTTAGGTTCGGGTCAGAAAGCTATGATTCATTGCACATCTTCTCCTGAGATTTCTCTGAGGTTTGTAAGTGGGCCTGGTGCTGCAATACACTCGTTGCTTGCAGAAAAAAATGGATTCCTGCAATGTCATATAGAAAACTTCAGCGCTGAGTTTCTTATATCTTCTCTTATGAATATTCAACATTTTTTGGAAGATGAAACTGTTGCAACAGTAATGCCAATGAAGATACAAATTTCTAACACAAAAATAAATTTAAAAGTATGTTAATAAATACTTCATTTTATAAATGTACAATTTATATATCTGGACTTTTATTTATCCCTAAGAATATGCCTTCTTTATAATATATATTCTCTATATAATATATATAAGCATTTAATAAAATGAATTTGTTGGTCTTTGGGTTGAATGATGTAGAGATCCTTCTTAGAAATTAGAAAATGTGGGCAGGAGCAGTGGCTTTTGCCTGAAATCTCAGCACTTTGGGGAGGCCAAGGTGGAAAGATCTGTTTAGGCCAAGAGTTCGAGACCAGTGTGGGCAACATAGCGAGCCACTGTCTATGCAAAAAATTTTAAAAAATAGTCCTGGAAACTTGGGAGGCTGAGGTGGGAGGATCCCTTGAGCTCAGGAATTTGAGGGTATAGTAAGCTGTGATCATGCCACTGCATTCCAGCCTGGGTGACAGAGTAAGACCCTGGCTTCAAAAAAAAGAAAAAAATTATAAAATGTCAAAATATAACAGGCAGTTTTCTCACTGTATCAACTAAGGCATGTAAAGATATATCCTAACTCATTAAAAATATAATTGGCTGAAGTAGTCCTTGTTAAAAATGATCATTTAAATTTTATTATTTACTTTAATAACACCTTGTCAATATTATTTCTTTTTCCTGTAGGATGACAGTCCTCGGAGTAGTACAGTATCCCTTCAAACAGCTCCTGTAGCTCTACATATTGATCATCTTGTGGTAGAGAGAAATGATGATGGCTCTTTTCATATCAGAGGTATATATGAAAAACAGTTTAAATGAACACCTGCTCAGATTTTAAAGTTAAATAATTTATACACCGATTATTTCTTTTCATTCATTTGTTTTGTATATATGTATACATGAGTAGTAGATGATTGAGGGACACTCTCAGTAAATTGTAATAAAGTATCATTTATGTATGGATCTCTACCCTAGAAATAGTTGTCTACAAATGTGTTTTGAATGACCATGTTAGAGCCTTTCATGGTCTTACATGTCTCTTGATCTTACTTTTGTCTCCTAATTGATTGCTTTCTTAGCTTTATTTCTCACTGTTCTTTCATATGCATTCACCCAACCTTGAATATACATTAAAATCTCAGCTTCATAACTAATACAAACTTAGGTGGAAAGGATAGCTTAGGTGTGTGAGAAGACAGTTCACCGTTGGTGCAGTGCTCTGTCTGCCAGATGCTTGGTATGTTGCTCTGTCTGCAGAATGCTTTAGCTCCCAAAGCTATAGGTCTGTAGAGAAAGCAGAACCCAGAACACCCAGTTTGCAGGCAAGGTATATAGTTAATACCAAAGTGAGAAGAAACTGAACCACACATACATAGTCTTTTTTGTAACCTCATCAGTCAGGTAAGTCATACCTTCTTCCCTGGGAAGGAGTGGGAAAGGGGACCAAGAGAGTCCAGGAGAACTATTCTAGGGATGTTCCTTCTCAAAAACAAGGAGGAATCCTCCCAGCAAGGTGCTAAAATTAGAATGGGTCCCTGAGGCAATAGCATGAATAACCTAAGCATTGCTTTTTTTTTTTTTTTTTTTGAGACAGAGTCTCACTTTGTTGCCCAGGCTAGAGTGAGTGCCATGGTGTCAGCCTGGCTCACAGCAACCTCAAACTCCTGGGCTCAAGCGATCCTTCTGCCTCAGCCTCCCAAGTAGCTTGGACTACAGGCATGTGCCACCATGCCCAGCTAATTTTTTCTCTATATATTAGTTGGCCAATTAATTTCTTTCTATTTATAGTAGAGACGGGGTCTCACTCTTGCTCAGGCTGGTTTCAAACCCCTGACCTCAAGCAATCCGCCCGCCTCGGCCTCCCAGAGTGCTAGGATTACAGGCCCCCGCACCCAGGCAGCATTGCTTTTTGAAATCCTCTCCTATGTTCCTGCCTTGTGGCAGGCTTTGGCAGGGTTTACATATAGACCAAAGTATTGAGGGTAAATTCTGCAGCTGCTAAGCCCCAGGAAAAGAATGATTTCCTACCTAGTTGACAAACTTGATGTATCTCATCCTGTGGCACAACCCCTCCTCTCCTACAATCACTAGAAATTGACTATGGTAAATAGAAACAGCATCCATAGTCAAAAAAATGGTATTAACATACGTACAGGAATTCGCAAAGACTTGAAAAAAACAGTACCAGTCAGCATTTATAATTGTAAGCAAGAAATAGTCTCCACCTAACTGAGGAGAAAAGGAGCTTGGTAAAAGATTATTGGACTAGAATTGAGAATCCAGAATGGTTAGTTGATCTTTGACGAGGCTGCCAAGACAATTCAATGGGGGAAAGAATAGCCATTTCCACAAATGGTGATGGAACTACTAAATATTCACATAAATGAAGCTGAACCTCTTCTTTATACAGGAATACCTCAAATAATATTATTACAGGTTTGGTTCCAGACCACCACGATAAAGTGAATATCACATGAATTTTTTGGTTTCCCAGTGCGTATGAAAGTTATGTTTACACTATACTGTAGTTTACGTGTGCAGTAGTAGTATGTCTAAAAAAACAATGTTCATACCTTAATGGAAAAATATGTTATTACTAAAAAATGTTTACACTCATCTGAGCCTTCAGCAAGTCATAATCTTTTTGCCAGTGGGAGGGTCTTGCATGAATCTTGATGGCTGCTGACTGATCAGGGTGGTGGTTGCTGAAGGTTGGTGTGCTGTGGGAATTTATTAAAATAAGACAATAATGTTCAATTCTTTTATTTTTTCTTTTGTTGCTTGTGTTTTACATGTCCTAAGAACCTTTTGACATATCTGAGGTCATGAAGATTTATCTAATGGTTTAAGAGTTGTGTAGATTTAGTTTTAGATAATTTAGTTCTTTAATTCAAATGTATGCATTAGAGTTAGCTTTTGCATTTTGGGTGTGAGTAAAGACCATAGACACATGGGTTTATTTATGGATTCTCAGTTTTATTTCATTTTTATAAATGTCTGTCCTTATGACTGTACCACACTATTTTGATTACCAACTTGCTTTGGAGTAAGTTTTGAAATTGGCACATGTAAGTTCTCCAACTTAGTTGTTCTTTTTTTAAAGATTGTTTTTACTCTTCTGGATCCCTTTTAATTCCATATGAGTTTTAGAATCAGCTTGACAATTTCTACAAAGAAGCCAGTTTGTATTCTGATAGAGATTATGTTAAAACTAGATAATTTAAGGGCTGTTGCCATCTTAGCAATATTAAGTCTTCCAATTCATGAACAAGGGAATTTTTATATATATTTAGATAATCTTTAATTTCTTACAACAATGTTTTATGGTTTTCAGACAATAAGTTTTGTACTTCTTTTGTTGAATTTATTCTTAAGTATTTTATTCTTTTTAATACTTTAAATGGAATTGTTTTCTTAATTTCATTTTTGAATTCTTCATTGCAAGTGCCTAGAAATACAATTAACTTTTGTATATTGATTTGGTATTCTGCAGCCTTGCTGAATTCATTTGTTACTTCAGTAGTTGATTCCTTAATTGTTTTTATGTACAAGGCAATCATCTGTGAGTAGAGATAGTTTTACTTCTTCCTTTGTAATCTGGATGTCTTTTAGTGTTTTTTTTTTTTTTTTTTGCCCATTAGCTGTGGCTAGAACCTCTAGGACAATGTTGAATAAAAGTGATGATAGCAGACCACCTTGTCTGGTTTCTGGTTTTGGCAGAGGTGAAAAGCATCCAGTCTTTCGCCAATAACTATAATGTTAGCCTGGAGTGTTTATAGATGATGCCCTGTATCAGATTGAGGAAGTTCACTTCTATTCCTCATGTCCTGAGTGTTTTTTATCATCTAGTCAAGTGCTTTCCCTGCATCTATTGAGGTGATTATTGAATCTGTGGCTTTTGTTTTTTATTCTATTGATATGATGCTTTACAATAGTTGGTTTTAGGATGTTAAATCAACTTTGCATTCCTGAGGTAAATCCTAGTTGGCTGTGGTATATAATTATTTTTATATGTTGGAGGATTCTGTTTGCTAATATTTTCTTGAACATTTTTATGTTTATACTCATCAGTATTTTGGTCTTAGTTTTTTTGTGATTTCTTTCTTTTCTATTTTTTTCTTTCTTTCTTTTTTTTCTTGAGACAGGGTCTTGCTCTGTCACCCAGGCTAGAGTGCAGTGGCATCATCATAGCTCACTGCAATTTCCAACTCCTAGGCTCAAGTAATCCTCTTGCCTTGACCTCCCAAGTAGCTGGGATCACAGGCACGCACCACCACCACACTAATTTTTGTTTTGTAGAGGTGAGGATCTTGCTATATTGCTCAGGCTGATCTATATATACTCCTGGCCTCAAGCAGTCCTCCTGCCTCAGCCTCCCAAATTGCTAGGATTTATAGACAATGAGCCACCACGCCTGGCCTTGTTGTGATTTTTTTTTTTCTTTGTTTGGGTCTGGTTTTGGTATCAAAGTAATATTGGCTTCATAGAAAAAGAATGGAATTGTTCCTTTTTTTCTTTTCTTTCTTTCTTTCTTTCTTTTTTTTTTTTTTGGAAGAGTTTATAAAGATTTGATATTCTTTAAATGTTTGATAGAATTCACCAATGAAGCCTTCCGGGCCTGGGCTTTTCTTTGTGGGTAGTTTTATGATTACAGATTCAATCTCTACCAGCTATAGGGCCATTCACATTGTCTTCTTGGATCTATTTGGGTAGTTGGTGTCTTCCTAAGAATTTACCTATTTCGTTTAAGTTATCCAATTATTGGCGTATAATTGGTCATAATATTCATTATTATAATTTTTATTTCTGCAAGATTGATAGTAATGTTCCTTCTTTCAATTCTGATTTTTTTTTTTTTTTTTTTTTCAATTCTGATTCTTGCAATTTCTTTTTTTTCTTGGTCAGTCTAACTAAAAGTGTATCAATTTTGTTCATCTTTTCAGAGAATGAGCTTTTGGTCTTACTGATTTTTCTGTATTGTTTTTCTATCTCGTAATCTGATATATATTCATTTCAAAATAAGTTTTTCATGATAGAACTTTCAAAGATTTATCAAATGTCTGGAAATATTATCTGAGCATTTTTATTTGTTTGATCAGATTCTCATATGCTTAACACTGGAAATGATTTGAAAGAAAATGTCAAAAGTGATTCTGATTCAGTGCCACTGACCAGTGGAAAGTATGATCTGAAGAAACAATGCAGTGTCACTCAAGCCACTCAGACAAGTCCGGAAATTCCTTGGCCTTCTCAGTCAGTTAACTTTCCTGAATCCTCCTTTGACTTTACTAGGGAACAGGTAATGAAAAACCTAATTAAGAGTCAGTTTTTGCATTTAAAATAATTAAATATTAAGATACTAATAGTTAACACATTGTTTTCTCATTTAAATAAAATGTATTGAATGCCTACTATTGTGTCCAAGTGCTGTGCTAGATGCTGTGGTTGTAGTGTTGAGCAAGATAAAGAAAACAAGCTTAGTTTCTTCTGCTTTTCTGTAGTACTATCGATATTTTTGTGATTTTTCCTCACAGGTTCTTTTCTATTTTTTTTAGCAATTAACATTCAAGTGTATATACTATATTATTTTACTTAACATTATTTAAGAAATATTTTTTCATATTGCTACATTTGTCGTGTATTTATTTTTATGGCTAACTAATATGGATGTAGATATGCTATCATTTCTGAACCTTCTTGTTAATAGTTGCTAACATTTGAGTTGCTTTTGATTTTTTGGATTATAAATAAACAAAATATTCAGCAGGGTTTTAATTCTCTATGATAGAACCACAGAATAAATTATGTCATCTGTTCAACAAAGATTTATTTGTTGCCAACTCCGAGGTAGGGATATGAAATGGAACAGTGTACCATCCCTATTCTACTGAAGGAGTCAATGTAGTGGGAAAGACAAGAGTGTGCAATCAGTAGTCATACACACTGTGCCAGGTGCTATACTATGGATTGGGGCAAGTGTAGGGAAGTATTTCAGTTGGTCTGTAAGGCAAGAATTCTTAAGCTGGGATTAAAGAAGTCTTAGAACTCTTTGAAATTAAATCTATATATATTAATGTATCTGTATAAATGCAGAAAGTCCTGAATTTTGCTATATCCTCATACTTAGGGGTTAGGGAATGGCTCTAAGAGAATAAAATGCTTGAACTAAGTCTTTTTGTGTGTGTGCACACCCGGGCTAGAGCGCAGTGGCGTCACCATAGCTCACTGCAACCTCCAACTCCTGGGCTCAAGCAATTCTTTTGCCTCAGCCTCCCGAGTAGGTGGGACTACAGTTATGTGCCACCACACCAAGCTACATTTTCTATTTTTTGTAGACATGGCAATCTTGCTGTGTTGCTCAGACTGATCTTGAACTCCTGGTCTCAAGTGATCCTTCTACCTCGGCCTCCCTAAGTTCTAGGATTACAGGCATGAGCCTCTGCACCTGGTCTAAGTCTTAAAGAGAAGAAGAGAGACTTATTGGCTATCTAGATGAAAATGTCTAATCAGATATTCAGAATGTGAGCCTGGAGCTCAGGAGAATGGTTTGTGCTCAATCAGGCTATCTGTGGTAGTTGGAGCCGTGGGAGTAGATGAGATCATCGAAGAGAGTGACTCAAATGACGAGAAGACGACCAACTATGGAATGTAACAATATCAAAATTTAAGGGTTCTTAAAAAAAACAGAAAGATGAAAAGGGCATAGGTTGTGAGAGAGACATGAAACGGAATGGTATAAAAACCAATAAAAGAGAGAGGTTTAGGAAGTAGAGGTAGATCAGTATTGTTTGTAGCCACAGAGAGTCCAGGGAAATTAATATGAAACAAAATTACTATTAGATTTGGAAATTAGGAGTTAGTATTTTGAATTGCTGGGTCAAAATATAGGATCATTTTTACGTGCTTGAAATACATGTTTCCAAATAGTTTCTCAAAGTAATTTTCAGCTTAAGTGGACCCTCACCAGCATTGGGTATTTTTACTATTCTAAGTATCATGCCTTTATATACTATATATAATCTGTGTTTTCTGAAAATTATATAAATTCTTTTTATTTTCCCAATTTATTATTTCAGCTCATGGAAGAGAATGAATCTCTTAAACAGGAACTGGCTAAAGCTAAAATGGCTCTTGCAGAGGCTCACTTGGAAAAAGATGCTCTTCTCCATCATATAAAGAAGATGACAGTTGAATAACAGGAGTAGCAGTCAAGATTCAAATTATAGCTCTGGAGTAGGAAGGTTATATTTATAATGTGGATGTTACCAAGTAGTGGAAAACGTTCATTTTCATAAAAAGACAATAAAATGATATGGAGTGTGAACAAGTGGTGACTAGTCCAAAGCCAGTTTAGAAAGTATGAGGTATGAGCATTACAATCTTTTGGTTGTTTTGTGTTTTGGGGTTCAACCTTCTTTTAAACTGGTGTGATCTAGGGATGTCAATACATTCTGTAAAATAATTACATGCCTAATGAAAATAAGATGTCATTTCCTAATTTTGATATCTCATTTTAGGCATTTTTTAAAAAGAAAAATGAAAAACTATTGCCCATACAGATCTCTGAATTTACTTCTTACTATTTCTTAATAATTTACTTTTATTTACAAAGATTCAAATGCTTTTAGAGCTAATGTAAAATAAAAAGAGGCTTACATTGTAAATGTTATTAAAATTATGTACTTAAATCTATAATTATTTAATTGTAAAAAGTCCAAGCAAATTAATAAATTCTATAATTAATGAGTTCCCTACTGAAGTTATAAAGTTTCTTGAAAATGTGGGGAAAATCATTTTAAGTGATAGGAAAACTATATAAGTAGAAGCTATAATTTCCAAAAAAAGACGGTACAAATGTAAAAATGAAAAGCACAATCTGTACAAAGGTAAAATGTTAGAGTATATGACTAGGTGATTCCAAAAGCATTACTTGTACATTCCTTTAAACATTTATTATTAGAAGTAAAAGAGTAATTTAACTTAACTATCTTGCTAAATTTGGCATTTAGCATTTGTAACTATAAACATTTTACTTAATACTATTTATATTATTTCTTTACCTTCATCTTTCTTTAAGATTTTGAAGTGAATGTTTTCGGAGAATTTTCTTTTCATGCACATAAATCAATTTCATACCATTCTGGTAGGTGGGTGTTTGCACATACTGAATTTATAAAGCTAGTTTTGATTAAAGCTCTTTGTGATTGATATAAATATTATATATATATACACACACATACACAGTCTTCTATAGTAAAAGTCATTGGTAAATTTTGAATTCTATTTTCTAGGGATTAAGGTTGAAATCCACATGAGAAAATCTTGATCATGCATTATGAAATAAAAGTACATGAGTGTTTAAGAAACAGGAATTTAAAGGTTTAAAATATGTTTATGATGGAATTAAACTAAGTTGGTATCTATTTTAAAATTCACATTCTTAAATATATCCAAGATGGAACATGAAACAGCTGGACTACTCTTTCTTGATACTTGAAAATTTTAAACCACATTGCAACATTTTATGGTGCTTTGCTTTTTTGATGTGACTTAAATAACTGTCTTTATATCTGAGTGATTGGGGGAAAATACATATTTCATTTATATTAAGTGCTGAAGTGATTTAGGCTTTATTGATTACAGTAGTAGTGGCCAAGCACATGGCTCATGCATGTAGTCCCAGTTTCTTGGGAGGTAGAGGCAGGAAGAATCACTTGATCCTAGGAGTTTGAGATTGCAGTGAACTGTGATGACACCATCGCACTCTAGCCCTGACAACAAAGCAAGACTCTTATCTCAAAAAAGAAAAAGAAAATACAATACTAGCCCTTTTTTTTTTCTCTTCTATAGATCCATTTTTTTGACATTACTTAAAAATACAGGCACTGTTTTGAGTAGTGAGGATACAGCCACGAGCAGATTAAATTGTTAACATTTTACTTCAGAATATTTTTAAAAACATGTTAAACCTATAATAGTGTTAGATTAAATGCAAAGGTCTAATTAAAGATTTAAGATGTATAGCTTATGCCCTTAGAAGAAAACATTTATTTTGTAGGTATATGTTCAGCAAAAACAGTCTCTGTTATGGAAAGGGATTGATGGGACATTAATTTCTTTAGAGCCAATAGTATTTTTCAGGATTGATCTATTCTGTATAAATTTAAATCTTTCTATGGTCTATTACAGTTGTATAATGTTAAAGAAGCTGAATGTTTTTCTTATTCCTTTTAAATTTGGCCTTCCCAAGAAAATCATATAAACAGAGAGATGATGATAATCTGAGCATTCCATGTGCTTTGTTCTATTTTTTTAATTTATAAGGAATACTATTTTTATAGAGGCTTAAAATTCATAAAACCCTGCAAAAACATTATTCATATAATGCCCACAACAAATTTTGAGAGGTAGGCATTATTCATATGTTAGAGGTTTTGAATTAAAAAAAAATACCCTAAGACTCAGAAAAGACAAATGATCAAAATCACAATTATTAACCTGGTCTTTTGACTTAAAGCTTAGTTACATGCTTTCATTTTAACTTAATCATTAATTCACAGATTTTCTCAGGGTTAGGATGAAAGAAGGAATCACTGTTTTACCTATCTTTCTTTTAAAATGACTATAATACTTTTAATTGTATGTGTATGATGGATGTATGTATAACTGTGTATTATTCAAACTACTTAAAGGATAGTGGGGCAATTTTTAAGTTAGCTCCAAACTATTTAGTGATGTGAGAAATACAGGAATAAACTCATAATAAACTTACCAGGGTTTTTTTAATGACCATAAATTAGAAATAAATTTGTCAGGCCCTGAATTTTTTTAAAAATTAAATCTCTAAGAGATATTAATGATCAGGGAACAGAAATAGTCATTGCGCTTTGCCTTTTCTTGGGGGGGGGATGATTGCTTTGGGTTTGTTTTCTTCATTTTTATTTGACAAATAAAAATTGTATATATTTATGGCGTACTACATGATGTTTTGATATTTGTATACCTTGTGGAATGGCTAAATCAAGCTATTTATCATATGCATTACCTCACATACTTTTCGTGGTGAGAACACTTAAAATCTCTCTTAGCAATTTTCAAGTGTATAATATATTGTTATTAACTTTAGTCACCATGATGTGTAATAGATCTCTTGAACTTACTTAACTGAAATTTTGTGTCATTTGACAAATATCTTCCCATTCCCTTGACCTCCAATCTCTGATAACCACCATTTTACTCTCTGTTCCTATGAGTTCAACATTTTCTTTTATACTCTACAAATGAGATCATGTAGCATTTGTCTTTCTGTGCCTGCCTAATGTCACTTAACACAATGTCCTCTAGATGTCACAAATGTCAAATAAATTTTTCTTCTTTTTTGTTTTTGTTTTCTTTTCTGAGATAGGGTCTTGCCCTGTAACCCAGGTTAGAGTGAGTGCAGCATAGCTCACTGCAACCTCCAACTCCTGGGCTCAAGCGATCCGCCAGCCTCAGCCTCCCGAGAAGTTGGGACTGCAGGGTGTGCACCACCATACCCAGCTATTTTTTCTTCCTTTTTAGGGCCAAATAGTATTTCATTTTGTATGTATCCCACATTTATCCATTCATCCATTGATGGACACTTAGGTGGATTCTGTATCTTGTCTACTGTGTATAATGCTGCAATGAATGTGGGATTACAGATACCCCTTTCAACATACTGATTTCATATCCTTTGGATACATACCAAGTAGTGGGACTGGTGGATCATATGGATCAATTTTTGAGGAACCTCTGTACTATTTTCCATAATGCTGTACTAATTTACATTCCCACCAGTAGGGTATGAAGATTCCTTTTTCGTCCATGTCCTCAACGATACTTATTATCTTTTGGCTTTTTTTTTTTTTTCCCCCAAGACAAAGTCTCAACTTTTGCCTGGGCTAGAGTGCCATGGCGTCCGCCTAGCTCACAGCAACCTCAGACTCCAGGGTTGAAGTGATCCTCCTGCTTCAGCCTCCCGAGTAGCTGAGGCTACAGGCATGTGCCACCATGCCTGGCTATTTTTTTTTTTTTCTATATATGTTTAGTCCAATTAATTTCTTTCTATTTTTAGTAGAGATGGGGTCTTGCTCTTGCTCAGGCTGGTCTCGAACTCCTGAGCTCAAACGATCTGCCCGCCTCGGCCTCTCAGAGTGCTAGGATTACAGGCGTTAGTCACCACACCCAGCCTCTTTTGGCTTTTTGATCATAGCTGTTCTAACAGGTGTGAGGTGATATCTCCTGTGGTTTTCACTTGAATTTCCCTGATGATTAGTGATGTTGAGCACCTTTCTGTATACCTGTTGGCTATTTGCATGTCTTTTTTTTGGAGAAATGTCTATTTAGGTCCTTTACCCATTTTTAATAATTGGATTATTTGTTTTCTTGTTTGAGCTCCCTACATATTTTGCATACTAACTCCTTACAAATGTATGATTTACAAGTATATTCTCCCATTCTGTAGGGTATCTCTTCACTCTGTTGATTCCTTTGCTGTGCAGAAGCTTTGTATTAATAGTTCATATATAATTACATGTGTCTACTTTTGCTCGTTTCCTGTGCTTTAGGGGTCATATACAAAATATCTTCGCCCAGACCACTGTCATGCAGCTTTTTTCCTATGTTTTCTTCTTGTATTTTTACAGTTTCAGGTCTTATGTTTAAGTCTCTAATCCATTTTGAGTTGATTTTTATATATGGTGTCAGATTTGGGTCTGATTTTATACTTCTGCATATGGATATCCAGTTTGCCCAGCACCATTTGTTGACGAGAAGGTCTTTTTCCCATTGTATGATGTTGGCATCTTTGTCAGAGATTGATTGTAAATGTGTGGATTTATTTCTGGGCCTTCTATTCTGTTTCATTGGTGCATGTGTCAGTTTTTATGCAAGTACCATGTTGTTTTGATTACAGTAGCATTGTGGTAGGTTTTCCATGCTTTTCTTTTTAATTTCATGCATGCCAGAAACACTTTGTATCTTCCATTTGTTTTCTTTTCCCATTTTATCCTAAAACTTCAAAACAGCACCATATGATACTGGTTTTGATGAAGCATTATTTTTAGTTTAAGCCACATAAGCATGTCTGTATATGATCACAGGCAAATATATGTGGGAAAAATTAATCAGAAACTCCTTTCTGGGTTTTTATTGTTGTTGTTCACTGTCAGCATGGGAGTGAAATACTTATTTTTTAATAAGTTTCTGTTAACCTGCAGTGTAATCAAGGCATCTTCCTATCTCAGTGAATGCCACAACCATTCATCCTAGTTTCCAAACTGGTAACCCAGTACTCATCTTAAGACACCTTCCTCTCCCCATCAGTTCATTACCAAGTTATGTCATTTTATGTCATTTTACCTGGTAAACATCTCTCAAATTTGTCTACTTTTCTTCACTTCTAGACACTCTCTAAGCTACCATGAGCAACTTTTTTTTTTTTTGAGAGAGAGAGAGAGAGAGAGTCTTGCTGTATCACACTGGCTAGAGTGCAGTAACGTGATCATAGCTCACTACAACCTCAACCTCGAACTCCTGGGCTCAAGTGATCCTACTCTCTCAGCCTCACCTCACCCCCTAGTAGCTGGAATGACAGGTGCATGCCACCACACCCAGCTAATTTTTTATTTTTTTGGTAGAGATGGGGTCTCACTCTTGCTCAGGCTGGTCTTGAACTCTTGGGCTCAAGTGATCCTCCCACCTTGGCCTCCCAGAGTGCTAGG